GTCACTGCTTTGTTCTGCAGATGTGAAATTTAGGTCTTGAAATTCCAAGAAGGAAAAAATTTCACTGGCTCTTAAAATTATGCTCTGTTCCAAAGGTTGAACCTATAAACATTACTGGAAATGTGGGGATGAATGCCAGGAATTCCTGAACTCCATGTCTGCCTGGCCAGGTTTGAGAAATATTGCTATTGGACATTTGATGGAAATTTTAAGCCTTTTGAAAACATGATTCTAGTAGGAGAGTCTTGACAAGAGACATACAGGCAGCACTGAAACTTTTCTATAAACCCCCTCCTTTGTGGCATGGCTAAGAGCCCTACCACTGAGCACTGTGATAGTCTTCTGGTTTCCTTGATTTTTCTAGTTGCATTCATCTCTGGAGTCCTGGAAACTTCCTGAATGTGTCTTCTCATGAAACGGAACACAGGATTAAAAAGGGCATCAGATGTTACCAGTCGGGGTTTTCATGCTTTCACTGATGAACTGTGGATAGGTTATAGGAGGGAAAGTGACAAAGCACCTGACTGGCAAAAGAAGTGTTCCTAAGGGCTGTCTATGGTTGGTGCACAGTCAGCTGGCTGTCTTTCCTTGCAAATCAGGACAGATCTTTAACCTGAATCTGACTTTTTTTTTAATCTTAAGAAAAGATAATTTACTCTTTAACTTAAAATAGTAACAAAGTAGTTTGTGATTTATAACACTATGTAAAAGTGAAAAGTGTATCAACCATGGCTCAAGGTGGGAGGGAAGAGACAGAAGTTACACAGGAGTATACCATTGGAAGTTTCCTGTACTTCTACATCACTTGAAGTAGGCTCTTAAAGATGGATGCTGAAAACCCTTAAGCAATTGATATAATTACACAACAAAGAAACACAGGTATTAGGGCAAAAATGGAGAGACAAGGGAATCATAAAAAGATTTAATATAAATTAAGCAACAAGAAAGAGAAAAAATGAAGCAAAGAACAGATGGGATAAAAATAAGTAGAAAGGTGACAGGTTTAAACTTAGTCATAGCAAGAAACATTCTAGTAGATATTATCCGATTGGATAAAAAGTAAGACCTAATGCTGAGTGCAAAGGCTGAAGCCTATAATCCTAGCATCCTAGGATCCTAGGGAGGATCACAGTTTGAGGCCAGCCTGGGCAAAAAGGTTATGATACCTGTCTCAACCAATGTTGAATTGGACGTGTGTGTGTGTGTGTGTGTGTGTGTGTGTGTGTGTGTGTGTGGTTCTAGGGCTTTGAACTCAGTGTCTGGGGCTTGTTAGGCAAGCCTCTACCATTTGAGCTACTCCCCAACCCTAGTTATTTTTCAGATAGGGTCTTGTGCTTCTGCCTAGGCCGGTCTTGGACCTCAAGTCTCCTATCTCTGCCTCCCAAGTAGTTGGGATTACAGGCATGAACCATTGTACCTAGTCAAGAACCAGGTTTTTCAAAAGCTATGCTAAAAGGATTGTAAGATGACACTTCCTTGTGCCTAGGTCTTAGTGGATTTTGGAGAGTAGTAATAACAATAGCTACCATGCATACAAACACTGCACTACAAAAGCAAAGAATCCCATTGAGTGGTTAACTTAATGAAGGTTTGATGCTCTCTCTCCAAAAACAACTAACTGAACCTAAGATAAACTAACACTTTCCTGAATTAACTTGAGGTGATAATTATACCATTTAATCTTATCCATATTACATGATCCAAAGGAACTGACTGCTTATGCTAAATACGTCTGTAAAGAAAGAGTACATTGAGGGTGGGAGAGAGAAAGGAAAGATAGAGCCCGGGTGAGAGAGCCCAGGAAGGAAAGACTGTGGTAATCTTTTCATAGATTGGTAAATCCAAAGTGACCAATGGGAAGTTTGGTCTCATGTTTATGGAAAGTGCACAAACTCGGGATGCCAAAATTGCCCAGGTACTCCACGGCCTCCCGTGGCATAAGTGCAATTCAGGTTTTCTCGGCAAAGAGTAGAAGCTGTTAAATTTAGGCAACTCTGAGGCTCCTGAACTGCTATGGCCAAGGTCTATGGCCACATGAAACTAATTTTCACCTTTATGTGTTTTAGAAAGTAAGTACTAAGGAAAAGCTCAGCCCTTTGTTGGCCAAGTTTCTCTCTCTCTCTCTGTCTCTGTCTCTGTCTCTGATTTTGTTTTGCGGTACTGGGGTTTCAACTCAGGGCCTTGTACTTGCTAGGCAGGTGCTCTACCACTTGAGTCAGTCCCAGTCCTTATAATCTCCATTTTATGCCCAGATGGTCCTGAACTGCAATGTTCCTCTTTACACTTCCCACATGGCTGAGATGACAGGCAAGTGACCTTGCCCAGCTGTTTTATATTTTTATTTTTTGAGTGGTGACCCTGGAGTTTGAACTCAGGGCCATATTTGCTAGGCAGACACTCTACCACTTGAGTCACTCCATCAGCCCCCAGATTTTTCTTGGTTGAGATGGGATCTTGCTCTTTGCCCAGGCTGACCTTGAGCTGTGATCCTCCAAATCTCAGCCTCCCTAGCAGTTAGGATTACAGGTGTGAACCACCACACCCAGCTAAGTTCCTACTTCTTAAAGAATGTCTGCACAGCAGACATAAGTGTGTAAAGTGGAGGATTCTTAACAGCTATTGGACTTAGAGTGCTAAATACTAGAGTTTTACACTGACAGAGGAAAATCTCACTAACTGGGAGTGGGTCACAAAAGTGTCCTCTCCTTTCAGCCTCACAGCCAATCTCCAAGATAGCACCATGTGCACCTGGTCTCTAGGGAAGCACACAGCTGGGGGCTGGAAGGGAGCAGCCTTGGTTAAGACGCAGTGTTCCTAAATTGCCTACTTTTGGCTGACAGATGCTCCTGGCTGGCCCACGTGCAAGTCTGCAACTTGCAAATGAGGCTGTAAAGATGGCTCTGCTTGCCAAAACGGCAGCAAGCAGGAAGCCAGGAGACAAAGCGAGGTGATTTGGTGCACTTTGTGGGCTGCTTTTCACCTCCTGCCTACATTGTGACACCAAACTGGGTCTAGCAGCAATCGTGTGACTATCTTAGTGATGTCAATCCATCCAAGTAGTGTGTGTTACAGAGTGAGGCATCTCAGTATCTTAACAGCACCCATCCAATTCTGTGAAAGTTCCCCGGCCTTATCAATCAGACAACAGGTGCCTCAGATTCAGTATCATGGATGTGGCCTGGGCACGTGGTAGAGACATAAATTCTTGGGCCCTACCCCAGACCTCCTGATGCAGAAACAACCCTCCCCACCGCCATGATTCTGTGTGCACCACAGATAGAGAAAGCATGAGACTGAGCCAGTCAGGACAATCACAGTCACTAGAACAGGTGGGGGAGAGAGCGAGAGAGGGGATAAGCTCACAAAGGTGGCATTCACTCTGCTGATGGCCATTCCTATCTGTGGCCTGCATGAAGGGCTGAGGTCAGACTTGCAAGGGGAGAAGGAACAACAGGAGAGAGCATGGGGAGTTCCTACGGACTTTGTGGTGTTTGAGAGCAAGTGGCCAAGGCAGGAGAAATATTCTGCAAGAGGGGGACGGAGGTACCTATGTGACTGCCCACCTAGGAGAAGGAGCTGTTGTTTCTCTCACACATATGATAGTCTGTATACAACTCTCCTGACCCTCATGTAAAACGTCTTCAGTGTTCTAGATACACAGAGAGAATGAAACATGGACGTGGACAGGAGGGAAGAAGAGGGGAGAAAGTGGGCTGAAGCAGGCCCATTGCTGGATTCAGCAGACAGACTTCTCTGTGACGGAGAATCAAGTAGCATAGGACAATTCCTTGTCACTGTGTCACCCCCACGAGATCACCATCATCTTCATCACCGCCACCACTGCCACCACATCAAGCTACAGTTGAGCAGTCTACATGCAAGTATTAAGCTGAGCATTTTTTTTCTTTTTTGGTGGTATTGGGGTTTGAACTCAGAGCTTTGTGCTTGCAAGGCAGGTGCTCTACTGCTTGAGCCACTCTGCCAGCCCTTTTTGCTTTGATTATTTTGGAGCTAGGGTCTCACTTTTTGCCCTGTACCATGATATCCCTATCTTGTGCTTCCGTTGTCACTGGGATGACAGGCGCTCACCACCACACCTAGCCTTATGCTTAAATTTATTTATTTCTCCCCAACAGCTCCGCTAGCTTGACTGATTACATCCGTGGACAGACAAGGAAACTGAAGCTCAGAGAGTGTAGGCAGCAGCTCCAATGTTAGACAAGAGAGGCTAAAATAGGATCCTATTCCAGGTCTGATTTCCTCCTTTTCTGTCATGGACAATATTACTCCACAACATTCCTGCTTGGTATTTTCATTCACGCTGAGCCTGAACATGTAAGGTGCCCCTCATATCATTGGACAGCTCATCCTTGAGCAGCTAGAATGTTCTTTCTTTTACTGGTACCAAGGTCTATACCTCCTGGCAGAGTTCCCTCACCGGTCTTGCACTTGGCCTGTGACTCCAGAGGACACATCTCTGGAGTCCTTTGAATAGCTACACAGTCCTAGGAATCCTCGCTTCCTCATGCTAAAAAGTCTGGATTCCTTTTCTAGAAAGGCACAGGCTCTCAGTTTGAAGCCGTGAGGTGCTCTATTCCTCAAATCCACACCTCACAGGATGCCGGGGTAGCACTCTTAATGTTGCTAAGACTCAAAGCTGTTGCATTTATGCAATTACAGGCACGGACATGAATATAAAAACCACCATTATTTCTCAACTGCACCAGAGGACAACAAAGGTGACAGAAGAATGGAATCTTGGGGCTGAGGGGACCCTCTTCTGGTGTTTCCGAGATAGGCTGTCTCTGGAGCATGAAATGAGCTGGCTGCACTTTTAGAAATGCCAGCATGGCCCCCACAGCCTTGGGTCCTGGATTATAACTTGGGTGGAAAATAGAACTTTAGAATCCTGCACGGATAGCCCGAGGAGCCCCGAGAGTCCTGGGGTGATTGACGGAGATGGGGGGAGCAGCTTCGTCTGCAGGACATGGGAGTCTTACCCTGCAGCACCCTGGTCTGGGACCTTGAGGAAATCTAAGCTCTCTGGCGTCCGGGACACTCGGTCTGAGCCTGTGGACTGTTGCCGTGGCAAGGGTGGGCGGACCATGGAGGTGTACAGGCTTTTCTGACCGGACCTCTGGTTCCCAGCAGCATGGAGAGGTGGCGCAAACTGGCTTTTGATGACGCCATTCTGATGGTATCCTAGAGAGAGAAGAAGAAATCAAAGCTTCAATTTTCCCATCCTTTACCAAAGGGCTTTCCGTGTTTCTTCCATTTACTAGTCAAGGGCAAGTGATGTAACTCCCCTGGTCCTCAGTTTCCCCATCTGAAAAATGGCACTCCTGCTAATATATTGTAGTAGGGCTAAATATATTGTTTTCTTTTCCCTCCAACTTTATTTTAATTGAGAAACCCGATTGTGTGTATTGAAGGTGTACAAAATGTAGAGTTAATGATACACTGTGAACTGCATCAACACCTGCTGGTTGAACTTGACAAGAGAATCTTCCTCGTTCTGGGTTTCAAAGCCCACAGTCAAGAAAAGTGAGCTTGCAGCTAGCTGGCAGCCACTCCCTTGGGTCTAAGAAAAACAAGGAGGTGCTGACTCAACAGGGCAGACAGGCAGCTGTTTAAACAGCTGGACATCCATTTTTGAGGAGTCAGTCTTGGGTGTCCTTGGCAGGAGCCTGCTGTGTGAGGTGGAAGGAGCACTCCAAACAGGCAAGGATCCCAGCTGGATTAATCCAGATGGAGCAAGCTCTCTTAGCTGAATAGCGATTTCTAGTCAAGACCACAAAGGCTGCACTAGCCAGCAAGGAATGGGCAGACTGTGGTGATGGGCTCTAGATCATGAAAGGGACACTAACATCTCCGTTACGTAGGAAGAAGCCCTCATCTCTTTCCCCACCAACAGATCTGGGCAGAGCGAAGAGCCATTTTGGTGAGACACCCATAAAACCTCTTCCAATAAAACTGAGAGGTCATTGATACGAGTGGGACAAGTTTATAGTGGGTTCGGTTCTGGCTCTACCTTTGATAGCTGCACTGATCTTGAGCAAGATATCTAATCTTTCAGGGGGCCAGTTTCTTCATTTAAGAACAAGGAGGCCAGGCATGGTGGCTCAAACTTGTGAGGATCTCAGTTCGAAGCCAGCCCAGGCAAAAAGTTAATGTGACCCCCATCTCAATGGGAAAAAGCCGGGGATCGTGGCACGTGCCTGTTACCCAGCTACACTGGAAGGGTAAATAGGAGGATCGTTATCCAGGCTGTCTGCACTTAAGAGTGAGAGCCTATCTGAAAAATAACTATAGCAAAAAGGCCTGGCAGTGTGGCTCGAAGGAGTAGAGTACCTGCCTAACAAGCGTGAAGCCCTAAGTTCAAACCCCAGTACCATGGGAGGGAGGGGAGGGGGGATTGGGAAGGAGAGGGGGAGAATGTTCTAGAATCCACTTGGTTCCTTCCAGATCTGCCATGCCTTTTCCTCTATCTCTATCTCTTTCTCATGGAAGAAGGGGGCTTTTTCTGTCCCCACGTACAAAAGAAGGAGTTCCTACTTTGAACAATAGTACAAGGCTGTGGTTCCTCATCCAGCCATTTCTCTTCCGTTTTCACCCACAGGGCCTGGGGCTGGATCAGAACGGACATTTGGAGCAATCGGCTTCTCTCATCTTACCTAGCAAGTGAGATTCAAATGGGTTCCCCACAGTGTCTGGTGACAGAGAGGACAGTGAGGTCCCACTTGCTGCATGTCAGGATGAGGTGTGCCCTCAGGCAGTGGTCCTCAAGGTGGTGTCTTCAGAAAGGCTGCACCATGTGCTATCAGAGATGTGCTCACCCAAAGTGAGTTCCAAAATAAAGAATGAGTGCACAGACACATTCAGGGCAGCTTGGCAGAGAGATTTTATGCCTGTTGAATCTAACAAGACTTTTTGACTTATATTTTGTATGCTTTCAAAATTTCATTGTTCTACAAATTCATTTTTATTATGTTTTGCCAAAGTATGGTTGGTGATGAACTGAATATTTTTAGGGAAACCTAAGAAATTACAAATGAGGGGTCCTTCACTTTGGAAGATAGTTCAAGAAGTGCTGAACTAATGGATTCAGGTCAATTGCTCATTTGAGAGATGAAAGCATCACTTTGGAGGCCAGGAACCACGATCAAGGTCAGATGCCCTGGGGCCTGGCCTGAGGCTAAACTCGCTGAGACCAAGGGCATTCCAGGGAGTCCTGGCCAGGTTACTCGGTTGAGGCCAGCACTAAGGAGTGACACAACACTAACGCTGCTTCTCTTGGGTTCTTTCAGGCTGGGATTTGCCCCAAGGATAAAAGAAGATGGGAAGAGAGGCAACTGGCTGAGGCAGGAGAGAGATACCAAAAGAGATGAGGGCTAGTTCCTCACTGCTGGACACCAGTGTCCGTGGCTAAGAATACAAGTGTGAGACAGTAAAGAAATGCCTTGTACTATTGTGGACATTGGTACAAATAGTGTTCTCTTGTCTGGTATGGTTTGAGTCATGTGTGACCCTCAAAGGACTCTTTCACACCTAGAATCCTAAATGGAGGGATATCAAACACTCTGGGGACAAGAGTTTTTCTTTCTTTTTTGGTGATACTGAGGTTTGAACTCAGGGCTTCCCACTTGCTAGACTGGTGCTCTAGTGCTTGAACCAAGCCTCCAGTCCAGGAAAGAGTTTTATGAACTGAATTTGGTGATCGATGGAGAAACATTTCTGAATTTCACCAAGCAGATTTTTTTTTTGGCAGTATTGGAGTTTGAACTCAGGGTCTACACCTTTAGCCACTCCGCCAGCCCTTTTTTGCAAAGTGTTTTTTCAAGATTAGGGTCTTTAGGAACTATTTGCCAGGTTGACTCTGAACCGCAATCCTCCTGATCTCTGCCTCCTGAGTAGCAAGGATTATAGGCCACCAGTGCCTGGCCAACAAGCAGACTTGTAGGACAAAAAGCCTTAAATTTACTCAGGTTTAGAATTTACATCTGCAAAGTATTTTATTTTTTTATATTTATTCGTGCATTTGTTTTTGTGCTCTACCACTTGAGTAACATCTCCAGCCATTTTGCTTTAGTTATTTTTCAAACAGGGTCTTGTAGTTTTGCCTGGGCCAGTCTTGGACTGCAATCATCCTACCTACACCTTCTGCATAGCTGGGATTATAGTTGTATATCATCATGCCCACCCTTTTTGTTGAGATGAGCTCGCACTAACTTTTTGCCCAGGCTGGCCTTGAACTGTGATCCTCCCAATCTCTGCCTCCCAGGTAACTGGGATTATATGTGGATGATGCCACCATAGACCCAAGTTATATTTTTATTTATTTAAAAAAAATGAGAATGAGGCCCTGAGTTCAAATGCCTACTGACAAAAAAATGTGTAATTCTCTCTGATAGTCTATTTTGGAGAGGTCTCCTAGATCTTATTTGATAGGGATAATGTTTTTTGCAGATTCATTAAACTATTAACTAGCTGGAAGTCATCGTAGTGGTGTTCGGCAGGAGCTGGGCACTGGGTGGAGTGAGTACAGGTCTGCTCCTCTTATGGCATCCTACATCTTAAAGCTGACAGCATTGCAGTTATCCTGGGCAGGAACTCCTCTCTCTGCACACAGGTGGTGCCTGTGCCACTATGCCCTTAGTTTGCCTGTAGGCTGGGGTCACCTTAAGTAGGGCTGTCATCTTGGGAGGTGTTTGCCTGGCACTGACATGGCCTGTGGCAGGTTGATCCGTGTGGATGCATTTGCTAATGGGTTTCTTCCCAAACAGGTCGCAGAAGTTACAGCCACAGACGTGGTGGCGCGCACGATTACCTGGCGGGGGAGGGGCAGCTCTCATGGGGTAGCTGGCATTTTGAGTCCCGAGGGAATGCCCCCTGCTTTGGATGGTGTTCCTTCTGGTAGGGCCTGAAATAAACAAGAGAGACAAAGTTAGCATCAGGACTGCTGCCTGGTTTTGTGGCTCTGGACAGTTCTTGGCTTGCAGATGAACTCCTTTGGACTTGGAGGAGCTGGTTGCTAGGAAGGGCCGTGGAGTACAAGTGCCTTTGCTGGTAGCCACTGCAGGAAGAGGCTGGAGGATGTGTTTACAGAAACACGGTTTTGAAATGCTAGAGGCAGTGGCTTTTCAGAGCGATCGACAATCTTGCGAAGATGTTTCATTTCGTAGACTTTTGAAAGAGACAGATGGAACATTTCAGTGGTGGCATTCGTGTCCTAAACACCACACAGAGGTTCCCTACGTGGGCCCCGAGCAATATCTGCAATATTTGCGTGGCACAAAGCACTCCACTGCTCTAACTACACATCTGTTAGGTTTTCATGGAGGCTGTGCATGGTGGCTCACACCTATAATCCCAACTACCCGGAGGTTCTAAGTCAGCCCAGGCAAAAAGTTTATGAGGCCCCATCTCAACCAATAAAAATCGGGTGCAATGCGTGCCTGTCATTCCACCTGTGCCACAAGCATAAACAGGAGGACCGCGGTCTAGGTCACTCCTGCATCGACGTGAGACCCTGTTTGAAAAACAACTATAGCCAAAAGGGTTGGAGGAGTGGCAGAGAGGCTCAAGTGGTAGTGTGCCTGCCTAGCAAGCATGAGGCTCTGGGTCGAAAATCCCAGAACCACTGATAAAGAACAAAAAAAATCTTCCATGCAAGAACCTATGTTTTAGGCTTCCAGTCAAATGAAGAGATCAGGAAGGAGAGATTTGCACTCTGGACACTGAAGGAGGACTTAGAAAACAACTGGGTGCTAGCACAGCACCACTGTGGGCTGGGATTAGGGCTGGGTCAGCAACAGGATGTGATGGAAGGGAGAGTCACAAAGTCTCAGCAGGGACAGGAGGGAGGACAGGATTAAACCAGCTGGAGGAGGGGTGCAGGGAGAGCTTGCAAAGAGGAGAGCTGAAGGACAGAGAAGGGCACTGTGTGACAAGGCACAGAAGCACTGAAGGCTGAAGTGGTCTGGCTGGGCCTCTGCTCTCCACACCTAGACCACTTCTACTGCATCCCAGAAGGATCTGGGGCCTGACAAGCACCGCTCACCCACGTCCTCTTGGCCATTCATAGCTCTGCTTGGTCCTGCTTGAGGCCAGGGGTTTGAACCTGTGACTGACTAGGCCTCTCTGTTCCAGCTGGGTTTGGCCTACGGAGGCCTGGGTGGAGGACGGGAGCGCTGAGGCGTGGGAGGTTGGGCGTGGATCTGCGTGCTTCTGTCTGCTCCCTCAGCCACTGCAGGTCTTTCCCTGGGCCCCTGTGTTGTCCCCTTGACCCTGCCCTCATCCCTTCATCTGGTGTTTTCTGCAAGTAGCAAGTGACACACAGACACACATCAACATTCTCCAAGTGGCCAAACACACGTACGGGTGTGGTAGTATTTACATGCCTAGTATGAAGTCAGTGCGTGTGCACTTCGGGTACACCTCGTTGTAACTGAGCTGATAAAGACCTGCTTTATATGCCGCATACTGCACACGTGGTGCTAAGCGATACACGAACGGGCTAAATCAGAGACAGGTGCGTACATGACGCCAATGCACAGCACACGGTACTTCTATGCTGAGCACCATAAATATTATAAATAAGAAAAGACTCAAAGGCCAGTGAAGGAGTTAGCCTGGGGTTTGAAGACAGGTGTGTCTCTGTATGTATGTGTCTTTTTTTGAGACTGTGTCTTGCTATGTAGCCCAGGCTGGTCTTGAACTCACTATTCTCCTGACTCTGTCTCCCAAGAACTGGGATTATAACAGGCACCACTGTGCCCAGCTTGCATGTGTGTCTGAAATGAAGGTAGACAAATTAGATGTGGCTCACAGTGACGCCGTGAAACTGTGTGGTGAATTTTTTTAGACTAGTAGAGAGAATAATGTTGCTACTGTTGTCAAGATATCACTGGAGGCCCATGCCTCTAATCCTAGCTACTTGGGAGGCTGAAATCAGGAGGATTGAGGTTTGAGGCCAGCCTAGGAAAATAGGTCAAAAGACCCCATCTCCATAACCAGAGCAAAATGGACTGGAGGTGTGGCTCAAGCAGAAAACCCTGAGTTCAAACCCCAGTCCCACTAAAAAAAGATATCACCTGAAAAGGTCAAGAAGTTTGAAGCCAACAAATTGTCACAGACACAATTAAAAACACAATGCCAGGTGTTAAGACACAAAAGAGCTAAACCACTTAGAGGGTTTGAACCTGCCCATCTCCTGATGTCTTAGTGTGAAACGTCCCATGGGATGAAACCCCTTGCCATGGAAGGCAGCAGGCGCATAGACCTCTCCCTGCCATGCCTGGGCGCTCCTTGCCAGCCTTTGTGCAGAAGAGCTGGGTGGCATGGCAGCTCGCTGCAGGGGCCCACGGGACACTTACGGGAGTTTTTGGGCAGCCCGGGTCCAATGCTGACCTGCAGCACTTTGTTACTGGGCTTGAGGATGGCCTGGTCACCAAAGCCTTGGTGGAATTGCACTTGCCGGGAGCCCCCTGCACTCCAAGGACCCCAGTTTTCCTTTTTCAACTTCAATTCAAGCCTGCAACAAAGCACATTTATTGGAATTAACAAGCAGAAATAAGCTGGTGAGAAAATGGTGCTTAGAGCTCCACTGCTAGCTTAAAGACACTGTAGACATGGCTCAAGGCTAGACCAGGTACAGTGGTGCACACTTGTAATCCCAGTTACTTGGGAGGTGGAGACAGGAGGATTGAAGTTTAAGTATAACCCAGCAAAATTAGTGAGACCCCCCTCCACATCTCAAAAACAAAATAAAAATAAAAGGGCTGGGTGTACAGCTCAGTGGCAGAGCACTAGCCTAGTATGTACAAGACCCTGGGTTTAATCCCTCCTACTGCTTCTGGTGTGTGACAACTGCCAGGTGACCGCCACACCAGAAGCAGTTGGTGAGGGAGGCACCCCATCAATATGCTAATATCTCTCTGTCTGATGGTCCCAGGGGTGACGCAGGAGGAAAGGGACACTTTCCAGGCCATGACTACTTTGTCATTATTCCTCTAGCTGTTTCCCCTGGTTCTGTGTTTGTGCAGGACTAAGCAATGCCAGAAACAAGACAGCTGAGGATTCCTTAGCACTGAACGTGGTCACGGTTTAATTAAACCCTCTCTTCCGCCATCACTCCCCCACCCAGGGAGGGAAAAGGCGACCAGCGACCAAACTCCAAAGAAAGGAGAGTCGCCACAATTCCCATCCTCCAGCCAGTTTTACTTTTCCACGTTGTCTTCATCATGCAATCCATACTCGGCTTCATTCACTTATATTTTCCATATCATAAGAAAGAAAATGAATAATCTGAAGTAGCTGCCTATTGTAAGTTTCTCTCATTATGACATTCATGCTTTATAATTTATATATTTAATTCAATTTATGTAAAGTTTATAATTACTGTATAATTTATAATTAAGGCTTTATAATGGCCTCATTCTTGTAAGATGAAATGTAGGGCATTTTGTTTTTTTGGTGGGACTGGGGTTTGAACTCAAGTCTTCATGTTTGTAAAACAGGTGTTCTGTTGCTTGAGCCACACCTCCAGTCCATTTTGTTCTGGTTATTTTGGAGATGAGGTCTAGTGAACTATTTGCTTGAGCTGACCTTGTACCATGATCCTCCTGATCTCAGTCTCCCAAGGAGCTAGGATTACAACTGAGCCACCAGCACCTGGCTAGCATTTCCATTTTATAGATGGGAAAAATTTAAGGAAAAAAAAAAAGCTAAAATTAAGCCTCATTCAGCGAACATGAGATTAGAAGGTTCACAGTGGGTGGTATCTGTTCCATTAGTCCATGTTGCCAAAACAGTGAAGGTGAGACACTAAACAAACTCCAAAGAAAGGAGGGTCTCCCCCAAATGCCTGCCGATAGCTTAATTTTTATCATCATTTGGGGGAATTTAAGTCATTCCACCAGTCATTTTTGTCCACTTCAGCCTGACTCTACTGAAGAGTAGACTTTACTGAGGGGTAAAGTGGTTTTCTTTGGTGATTCATAAAATTCTGCCCTTCCCTGGCCCACTTGGGTGATCTTTGCATAGATGATAACATACACTAGTCTATGTCATCATTTCACAGACAACCATCCAGGTTGTCTTCAGCAAGTTCTGATATTCCATTGGGGAAAGTGAGGCACCCAGGACGAGGCTTGCAGAAATTGTGGGAGCCACTTACATCCCAGCCCCTACCCTGTAGGCCTCCCCTCTTCTCAGACTGGACCCGGGACCCCTCTCAGTTTTACTCAGTTTGAACCCCAGACCCCAACTTACGTATTGCTGAATTTCAGAGGTAGTTGCTTCTGGGTTTTCTCTTCATAACGCTTTGCTAAGAGGCTTAAGAACTCAGTTTTGAAGACAGATTCAAGCAAACTGTCATACTCTTGCTCATGGAGAATAAAAATGTCGTCCTGCATGGTACTGTGAAGAGATTGGACAGACTTAAGGAAAGCGGCCTTTTGTTTATTCTGTCACCATCATTATTATCAGGACTATTTGATGATTAAACCCAGGACCGCAGGCATGCTAAGCACATGCTCCAAAAACCACCGAGTGACACCAGGGCCCATTCTTAATGTTATTTTCATCATTTTTGATCCTGTAATACAGTGCTAGCCTTCCTCCCTCCCTCTCACCCTTCCCTCCCTCTCTCCCTCCCTCCCTCCCTTTCTCTTGCCCACCTTTCTCTTTCATAATCTCATTTTTAAAAAGCACATGACAGTGTATTGCATCATAGAACTGATGAAATCAGTTTTCAAAGGAAATTTTATAGTCCACCAACAACATAATCAAAATACTTCTTTCCCAGGATTTAAAAAGCAAGACTTGAAGGACAATTTAGCTCAAATCTTAAAAGTCAATTTTAAAATTCAACTTCTCTGTTCTGAAGATCATAGATATCCAGAATGTTACAAATAGAAGGTGGCTGCAAACGAACAATTCCATGTTGAGTTGCCAGTTAGCAGAATTTATGATATGGTGATAGCTATTGTAATAAACCCAAACTTGAGCGTGGTTACCACAGGGACGCAGTGCACTCATGAAGAGGGCTGTAAAAGCAAGCAGCCCTCTGTTTTTACTGTACACTGTTTTTTTCAGGGTCTCACGCTTGCTAGGCAGGTGCTCTACCCCTTGAGCCACTCCGCTAGCCCCTTTTTTGTGTTGGGTAGTTTCTTTCTTTCTTTTTTTTTTTTCCAGTTGTGCTGTCCTGGCTGTGGGTACACTGTGGCATTTGCAAAAGTTCTTACAATATATCAAATATATCATAGTTGAATTCACCCCCTCCATCATTCTACTTTATCTTCCGCTCCCCCCCATTTCTGGAATAGTTTCAACAGTTTTCACTTTTCCATTTACATCCATGTGTACACAGTATTTGCACCATATTCACTCTCCCCAACCCTTGCCCCACATCTTGCTCCTCCCACTTGTATTGGGTATTTTCTGTTTGTTTTTTTTTTTTTCTTTTCGTGTTGGGTATTTTTGAGATAGGGTCTCATGAACTATTTGCCCAGGGCTGGCTTTGAACCTTGATCCTCCTTATCTCTGCCTCCCTAGTAGCTAGGATTACAGGTGTAAGTCACCGGCACCTGGCTATACCGCACACAGTTGCTACTAGAATGTGAAGACACATTAAAGCCTGGAAATGGACAAGACAGAAGTCAGGCACAGATCGTCACCTTAAGCTACAGTTCCATTGACAAGGAAAGAATGCACTTTTAAAAGAACTGCAAGTTTAGACAGGGCAGGACTGTGAGAAACTCATGGTCGGGGGGAGGTCTGGGAGAGCAGAGCATATTAAGGGGCTCCAGGGGAAGGACGGGGAGGGTTCACCTGGGAGAGCCTGGTTCTATTCTGGCCTGGGTTGTGAAAAGCAATGACACCTGGGAATTTTAATCACCTGTTAGCTACCTTCCCCAAAGCTGTAGAATGCACGAGTTTATGACTACCTTCAGATACATGTTTACGAGCATCTCCAAATACCACTGTCAGATAGGTGAGACAGCCATTTAAAGGGTGCCATTTCATTAGGGGTTGGAAGTGTTTTTCCAGGTACTGAAAACAAATTAGGCACACCAGCTTCAGTGAATTGGCCACTGTAGTCTTTCTAAGTGTTGGAGGTACCAAAGAGATGGTTTTTTCAATGACCAGAGGTAAGCTGCACCACATAGGAGCTGTGCTGTACTCAGGCCTCTTATTCCTGCTCCACCAGTGGGGTATGACAGAGCCAGGTGTTGAAGTGACTGAATCATATGGAGTTCTGGAGTGTAGAGAGTCTGAAATTGGAGATTGTCCTTGCATGTAGAACTCAATCTGTCTAAACTCCAACTCTGTGGTCTCGCTGTTCAGCTGTGGGCTGTCCTGGGGACTGCAGGTCTCCCTCTGGCATGCAGCTAGGGAGGACTTAGAGTTGACTGAGCCACTGGCTATGGCCACAGTCCCTGTGACAGTCTCAGTATGTTCCTCCTTGTCCCCAGTCACATGTTGATGATCCATGTGATGTGTCTGTAATGGTCATGAAATAGAGGCACAAGAGAGGAATTTGTCCCTTCTGCCCTTCCGTCTTGTGAGGATGCAGAAGAGGTGCCATCGATAAAGCAGAGAACGAGCCTTCACCACATACCAAATCTGCTGTCATCTTGATCTTGGACTCCCAGCCTCCAGAACTCTAAGAAATTTATGTATTTATTTTCGTGATACTGGGGATTGAACCCAGGACCTCAGGCAAACTAGGCAAGTGCTTTACCGCCTGAGCTATGCCCCTCCCCACCCCCAGCCCTTTTGTTTTTATTTTGTTTTTGAGATAGGGTCTCAATAATTTTTCCGAGGCTGGCCTCGAACAAACCATCCTCCTGCCTCTGCCTTCCAAATAGCTGTTCTTTATAAATTGGCTACTCAGGAATCTTGTTACAGCAGCAGGAAATGACTAAGACAGCATCCCAGTCTTGCTGTAGGAAAGGGGTTTGGTAATCTACAGGAGAAAATTTTAGGCTTAAAAGCAGAACCATAGCACAGTGGGATTTAAAGGCCCAGAACAGCACCACACACCCCGCACAGGTAAGAAAGAGGTAAAGTATAAACCAGCTATCAGCCCATGGTGGAGGGATCTTGTTCCATTCACAGCATGCCAAAGAGTCCTCCTGGAATGTGAAGTCAGAATACTTTCTGAGCATTTTTGCATGACTAATAACTGTTTGGGTGGAGAACAGGCCATTACTAATACAAGAGTTTGTTTTCAAACACCCCTAAATCACAACCACGCTTCTTACCTACTCTTGTGACTACATTGACACAAGTTTTACTGTTGTACTAGCGGCAGTGACAATCACATTCTTTAAACATCACAGTAATGTGGTTGGACTTGGATCACATGATAAGGGGACAGCACATTTTGGTGATACAGAAATAGGTACAAAACCCAAAACATGAAAGCATTTAATGTCCCCACTCCAGAGGAACTAATACAGAAACCTTAAAGCAACAGAGGTCATCATGAGAAGGGATCAGGAACCAGCGTGAAGATCAAGTAGAGATGAATCAACTTGGGTCGTAACACATTTGTACATGGAAGCAATGCTAGGAATCTCTGCATAGCTATCCTCAACTCAACTAGCAAAACACGTTGTCTTCCTTATTAGGCTTGTCTCTTTTCTTCAACAAAACTAGTGATAAAGGCAGAACAGGACCTGCCTGGAACTGAGGGGGGAAGGGGGGAGAGGGTGGGGGAAGGGGGTAGTGGGGGAGAGGGGAGGGGGTAGAAATGACCCTAACAGTGCATGCACATGTGAATAAAAGAATTTTTAAAAATCACAGTATTTTTGTTGCTGTTGTGTTTTGTTTCAAGACAGGGTCTTACTTCGTACCTCAGGCTGGTCTTGAACATATGATCCTTCTGCCTCAGCCTCCTAAGTGCTGGGATGACAGGCCTACACCACCATGCCCAGTCTTTATTTAATTATTTTTAATCTCTGTCACTCAACAGTGTGTTCAGAAGCAATTCAGGGCTGACGTGCCAGTTCTGTACATACTCTTTCCTTCTAGGGTCTGACCAGAGTTTACAAATCATTTTGGTCACACCCAATTGGCCAGAACTATGCCAGCTGGTTTATATGTAGCTGCAACGAAGCCTAGGAAATTTTTAGGTAGGCTGCTGGCTATTAATTATGAGAAAAAGAGAATGGGTACCATGGGGCATCCCACCGTCTCCACTATACCTCCTTGTCTGCAAACTTTCCCCAAAACTAGGTACTGGAATCTTTTCCAAATAATGTGCCTTCTGGGTGCAGCCACAAAGTTATTTTCATCCTCCTGGTTCTGGGCAGATGAAAAGTCTGGAATTCTACTTTAATTACTTAAGCAAAAGTTGTTCAACAGAGTTCCTCCAAGTCATTTGGAATAAATGAAACGAAGTCCAAGTATTCTGGTACAGGTAGAAGACCACTGCAGGAGGGAGGGGTTCCTGAAATGGGACAGATGCAAACAAGAAAAGCGATGACTTTCAGCCTGTGGGGTCATGAATGAAAATGCTCCCTGCTTGAGCTGTTTGACTGGAAGCACGCTGACATGTCTGGACTTGCCTTGGTGGTAATTTCAGCAAGCTGATTATTCAACAGGATGAAACGAACCCAAGACAAACCTTGAGAGGTTTAATGTGTTTCAGATTTATTGGGAGTTTCATGACCATATAGAAAAAAAGCAAGCAGGCCAAAACCTCAAGGTCAATTATCAGCATGGATCTGGAAATGAGACGTGTTTAGATTCTTTAACTTCAACCATCAAATTAAAAAATGTCTCCCCTTCAGTGACCCAGGCAGAGGAATGAGTGAAACCATCTTTGCCCAGGCCTGGGTTCCAGCTCATTCCCCATCCCTCAGCCCAAGCTCGTAGACCAGGAAACAAAGCTCTTATATTTGTTTATTCTAAAAAATCAGACTTGTCTTTGGCCATTCCCTCTGTCTTACTCCTTTGCACAAGCTGCAATTCCTTACACATGGTTGACCTTTGTGTTGAAAATCCTTTACTGTCTCTGGCTTGGCTCGGTACTTGTTTTTTTTATTCTCCATCATTGTGGCTTTTTGTTGCATTGCTGACCACACTAGAAAGTCTTCTTTTACTCTTTTCACTAATAGATTGTCTTCCCAAAATCTTTTGTTAAAAAACTCTGAGTAAAGTCCTCAAGTGTTCTTGTTTTGCTTTTTTTATTTTTGGCCGTACTGGGGTTTGAACTCAGGGCCTTACGCTCGCTAGGCAGGCACTCTACCACTTGAGCCACTCCACCAGCCCTTAAAGTCCTCAAGGGGTTTTAATTTTTTAAGCTGAAAAAGGCAGTTTCCAACTATAGCCCTGCCTTTATTTAATCCTTTATAAAAGTTTTTCCTGATCATGAAATAAATGTTACTTTTAGTAAACTGGAAGATACAGAGGCCAAGGAAGAAGAAAACAAACCTTGCCCAGAATTTTACCACTGAGAGGCCGGTGGAGCCAGATGTAGATCCTTCTTAACTTTTTGAGGGATTGTGGATACGTGCCAGGCCCAGTCCCCTCTTCCTATCCTGGGAGCTTCTGAGACCTGTGGGGCACATGTTCCCTAGGGTGTCAGAAGAGAGAGCTGTGAGGGGCAGTAACTGGGTCTTGTTCACCTTTGAATCCCAGAGAAATAGTGCATGCAAGGTGTGCGCTAAACTGAAGGTCCCCCAGCCCAAAGGCCACGGGCCCAGCAAGTTAAGATTTTGACAGTGCTTTGAGTCAGCACTGCAGGTAGTGTCGTGGGCTGTTCCTATTTTTGGGACGTTTAGGGCATTTGGACAGTGCAACATTCTAGGCAAAGATGTCTCAACCAGGAAGTCGGAGCCTCTGTCTAGAAGCACCTGCTTTGTAGGTTGCTTTTCTTACGATGGAAGGTATGGGGCAATCTATAAACCCAGACAGGCCACCCATCAACTACTGGCCTTAGCTTTTGGTGGTCAGCTGCTAGAAAGAGAAGGAACACTGGAAGCCTTGGGGTGGAGCTCCTGCCGAGTAAGTGCAAGGTCCTGAGTTCAAACCTCAGCACTTCCTATCCCCCCTAAAGAGTCAAAGTCATAGTCTCACATATGAGATTCCACAGCACCAATGTCAATGCCTACATATGAAAGGCAAGAACATGGAGTCACCTTCTAGCACATCGAGTTTCTCACATCCAAGTGAGGCCAGCTAATCCTTGGACAAAGCAGTTCTTGACCGATTCTTCAAAACTGGATGCATGGCCTTCTGTCAGCAGATGCCCACCTCGGAATCCATTCAGTGTGACGTGTCGTGTCGGGTCCTGATACCTTTGCCAAGTCTCCAGTGACGGCATTGGGTTCTGCTCTACTTTTTTTAATTTATTTTTTTTGGTAGCACTGAGCTTTGAACTCAGGGCCTCACACTTGCTAGGCAAGTGCTCTTACCACGTCAGCCACTCTGCCAGCCCCTCTAATTTTTACTTAGATGAGAGTTTTTTCATGTTCAAAGTGTCTTGTAGACCCTCTAAGCAATCGTAGGCATCATCTTTTTCTGAACTATCAGCCCTACTCCTGCTTGCTGTGATCCTACTTTTGTGGCAAATGAAGCTTTTCTAAAAATTTAACTATATTTATAAAACAAAAACCCTCAAGATTTACTTCATATTCAAGGATTTGATAAAACTTTTTTGTAGTACTGGGGGTTGAGCCGAGGGCCTCACACTTGAGTCACTCTGCCAGTCATTTTTTCTTTGGTTATTTTTGAGGTAGGGTCTCAGTTTATGTTTAGGTTGTCCTGGACTACGTACAATCCTACTATTTACACTTCCCCCATACTTCGATGACAGGCACCACTGCACTCAGCTATTGGTTGAGATAGAGTCTCTGGAACTTTTTGCCTGGACTATCCTTGAACCATGACTTCCCAATCTCTGGTATGAGTCACCATACCCAGCCTAGATAAAATGTTTTATTATGGGGAATTCCAAATTATATAAAAAGTAGAATACTAGAAGGAACAGCCCCAGACCAGCAAGTTTCAGCAATGATCTATCTACACTCCTACTCTCCCCACTGCCACACACAAACCAGGTTATTTTATACTTAAATATTTCAGTGTGTACTGTTTAAAGACTAAGTCTCTTTATATGTAAAAAATAACCATAGTACCAGTATCACACCTAAAGACATGAACGATAAATCCTTCTTATCAAATATTTAGTCTATTAGATAAATCCTTCTTATCAAATATTCAGTCTATTATCTTTCCTACAACACTTCACAATTGGTTTTGGGTGGTTGGATTGTCTGAGTTGGGAGTTGTGAGCGATGGAAGGGGTTCAAGGATGAAGCCTGTGGGACACTTAGAGCATCTTAAATAGAAGAGTTCGTAATGTGGTATCAATTCAGCTGGTAAGCAACTAGAAAGCCTCAGAAATTCTTGAAAACAAAATACAGATGTTGCAACTTTTTCCCTGAAGTACAAGACAACTGTTAAAAATTTTCTCGATGCCAAGCCTGAAGTGTTTTGAGACACATCCACACATCCTCCACACCTACACCCACGTTCAGTAGTCTGGTATCAACTAATTTCTACTTTGGGTCTGATTCTGCACAAGCCATCAACATTCTGCTTGCTTTTCTTACTTAGATTTTTTTTTTTTTGGTGGTGGTATTGGGTTTTGAACTCGGGGCCTTGATCTTGCTAGGCAAGCATTCTACCACTTGAGCCACACCCTGTTTGCTTTAGGTTGTTTTTACAGATATGATCTCAAGCTTATTTTTGCCTAGGGCCGGCCTTGGATGGTGATCTTCCTATCTACACCTCCTACATAGATGGGATTATAGACAATTACTACCACCACACTGGGCTTGTTTGTTGAGATGGGGTCTTGCTAAATTTTTGCCCATATTGTCCTTGAACCCTGATCCTCCTGAGAACCTGGGATTAAAGACCTGAGCTACTTGCCTGGCCTCCTTACTAGGATTCTGATTAATGGCCTGAGCCAGTATACATAGGAAAGAGGAATCAATATCAATTTTGGTAAGAGTGTGGCGTTGTACCTGCAAAATGCAAACATCCTAAATTAAAATGACTCTTACTCTTTTTTTTTTTCCCCCCTTAGAGTCAGAAAAACTTTCAGGCTAAATACTTAATTTTATTGCATCCTTTAAAAAATGAAAGGCTACAAGGAAGTGAACTTTCAGGCCGGGAATAACAAAGAAGATGAAGAAAAAAAAGAAGCTGGTTTTACCAGGAGACACTGAATCCCCAGAGACTGTGGGAGGAGGGAGAAAAAGAGAAAAAAAAAAAATCAGAAGGAAAAAATGTGACTTCAACAAATCACGTATGGTAAACCTCAAGGACTTGGTGAACAGGACAGTAACTGTCAAAGAACTTGACACAATGTAGTCGCGTTAGGACTATCTACTGTAACTAACAGTCATCCTGAGCTCTCCTCAGGTGGTCTGATAGGCTAAAGAGGCAGGGACACTAACAATGGAAAGAACAGTGGCTCTCAGAACGATGGCCACCTGTGCCCACAGGTGTGATTTCCTGGCTCTTTGCACAGCTACTATGAAGTGTCCATAGCCACCTCAGTCCACCCAGCTAGCCCCAGTACAGCAGCTCCCTAAGCAAGAAAAAGGAAAGCAGCTTTCGGTTGGGCTCTTTGGCACCCCGGGGCCTCAGGGCCCAGCTGGCCAGGAAGGATGTAACCAGTCAGTGAACTGAAGGCTGGGGAAGCCCCAGAGAGCATCCAGAGCCCTGAGACCTACCCACGGTGGACTCTGCTTAGAAATATTACCACATTTTAACCTCGCTGCACTGCCTAGACCTTTATCTAGCAAAATTAGGGACAGATAGAATCAGCAACCACAGAGGCACAAGCAAGAATGGACACACTGGAAATATGCTTTGGATTAATCCCGCTGGAGCCAGGATGTCCAGTCTGGTAGGTCAAATGCCCCAGCACATAAAAACCCTGCTTTTCCCTGAGGCTAGCAGTTTTGTCCTCTGTGGGGTGTAAGAGTTTTGAGGTGTGCCCTGACTCCAGGTAGACATGGTCATGAGTGACCAGACATTGTCCCTTGACAATGGCAGTGTGGTTCCATGGGGCCCATCTTCTTCTCTTCCTACTGTCCTGGGGATGGGCAAGGTTTCCCCTCACTAGGCGGAATCTAGTTTAGCAGCTCTTAGCATGGGGGATGTGACAGTCCTGTCATGCACAGGAACCCCGATGTCCAAGGAAAGCCAGAGTTTGGGCAGGAAGAGCAAGGACTGCCTGAGAACATGCAGAGATGATCACAGCTTCCAAATGCAGTGAACTTGTTGCTGACAGGAGATGTGGTGTTGACTCCAGGGCTATAGATTATAGTACCAAATCTATGAAAAGGCTAAAGCAACTTCCTACCCAGGATGCCTCTGCTTGGCCTTTGCAGGGAAATGGGTTAGGTGGGTTTTTTTTGTTTGTTTTGTTTTTGCAGTACTGGGCTTTAACTCAGGCCTTGCATTTGCCAGGCAAGGCCACACCACTTGAGTCACACCACTAACCTTTGCTGTGGGTATTTTCTTCAAATAGGGTCTCACATTGATGCTCCAGCTAGCTTGGACCACAATACTCCTATTTAATGCTTCCCACCTAGCTGGGATGACAGGTGCACACACCAATCCAGCTTTTTATGGATCACAGCCATGAGCCACAGCACCTGGTTTGGGTTAGGCTTTTTAACTGGGTGGGTGGCTGGGCACAGGGCTCACACTTCAGTAAGAGCAATTGGCTTTGATGTGCTGCATATACAAGGTTTAGTTCCAACGTGTTATGAAAATGCTGGTTTTGAGTATCTCTTAGTTGGATGTGCTGATCAGATGGCAACTTGTTATTGCTATCTTAATTCCTTTTCTACCAGGACTATGGTATTCAGGACTTCTTTGAGAAGAAGGGAAATTCCATTCTCTGTGTCATGATTTTTTTTTTTTTTTTGGTGGCACTGAAGTTTGCACTCAGGGCTTCACCCTTGCTAGGCAAGCACTACCACTTGAGCCACTTCACTGGCCCTTTTTTGTGATGGGATTTTTTGAGATAATGTCCCTTGAACTATTTGCAGGCCTGGCTTTGAACCGAGATCCTTCTGATCTCTGCCTCCTGAGTAGCTAGGATTACAGGCATGAGCCACTGGCGCCTGGCTTTTGACTTGATTTTAACAACTGGAGAAGCCAATTGTCTGCACTTGGAGCAGCGCTATCAATGTCAAGGAGGACAGAGTACCCCGCCTCTGCCCCTTCCCCACTCACCTGAGGGACACAGACAGGACCCTCTCCATCTCGATTCTCCGCTTCAGGACTTCCTTCACGAGACCTTTGTCTGGGCCTTGTTTCACCTTTTCTCGTCCGATTAAGTACACACACTTGGGGGTGAGAAGCAGGTCTCTCTTGACACCCTGTAAGCAGAGGAGCTTTAAGAAGGTGGCTAGTGTGGTCAAAGTGACAACTGTCCACATAATAGGTCACTGTTACCAGGACAGAGGGAAGCTGCCTTGGGTGGCAAATCTTCCCTGGCATTGGGATGCCCACTGCATTTATCATCTAACCAGTTCCCCTGGGAGGGAACAGGATGACAGATGTGGAAGTGGTCATACTTAACTTTTTTTTTTTGGTGGAACTGGGGTTTGAACTCAGTGCTTCATGCTTGCAAAGCAGGCACTTTACTGCTTGAGCCACACCGCCAGTCCATTTTGCTCTGGTTATTTTGGAGATGGGAGTCTCATAAATTATTTGCCTGGGCTGGCTATAAACTGTGATCCTTCTGATCTCAGTCTCCCAAGTAGCTAAGATTACAGGCATGAGCCACCAGCTCCCAGTGATACATAACTTTTTAAAGTTACAAAATGTCAAATGCATATGCTACATCATTCTTCTTATAAAGTTAATATTTGTTCTACAATTTCTTCTGATTTAAAAAGAGACAGTAAAAGAAATCTAGTAAGAATGAGGGCTGGTGGAGTGGCTCAAGCAGTAAAAGTGTCTACCTAGCAAACATGAGGCCCTGAGTTCAAATCCAAATCCCAGTACTGCCCCCCCGCCAAAAAAAAAAGAAATCCAGTAAGAATGAATTAATGAGAAACTGGTTTAAAAGATAATAAAGCATGTACAGAATGGAACACTGTATAGATAAACAAAATAATTTATACTGATATATCTCCTCTTTTTTCTGTCAGTACTGGGGTTTGAACTCAGGGCCTCAAGCAATCTACCAGCTGAGCCACACTCCCAGCACATTTTGCTTTAGTTATTTTTTAGATAGGGTCTTGTTTTGTTTTGCCCATGTTGACCTTAGACTGTGATCCTCCTGCCTAGCCTCCCTCATTGTTGGAATTATGGATGTGTGCAACCACACCAAACTTTTGTGTTTGGAGAGGGCTTTCAATAACTTTTTTGCCCAACCTGGTCTTGAGCCTCGATCCTGTCTACCTCTCAAGTAGCTGGGATTACAGGTGTGAGCCATGGATTACAGCCTTCATACATCTATTAATATGGGAAGTTTTTTCTTCCATAAACTAACAAACCCAGGATATACAAAAGCATCTTAATTTTCATAAAATAAATTTGAAAATGTATGCCTACATTAAAGAGTTCTGAAGAATACATACAAAATGTTTACAATGATTCTTTCTGGCTACATCTGGTCTATCTGGGTTTTAAGTTTTTTTCTCTAATGAACACGAACTGCTCTAGTGATCAAGATAGCAAAACCACAAGTTATTATTCTCATTCTTATTTGTTAATTTTTTTCTGCAGTACCAGGGCTTGTACTCAAGTCCTATACCTTGAGTCACAACACCAGCTCTTTTTGTGTTAGGTTTTTTTGCGATAAGGTCTTGCAAACTGTTAGCCTGCACTGGCTTTGAACCGAGATCCTCCTGATCTTTGCCTCCTGAATAGCTAGGCGTGAGCCACTGGTGCTCTGCTGTCATTCTTATTTTTAACGAGGAGTCTATTGGCGACTCTGGGGATGGTGGCAGCGTGTACCTTGAACCTCCGGTCATACTTGGTGACCGTGTCTGCAAAGTCAATCTTCTCCCTCTTGCCCACAAACTGCTGTAGCTCGGGGTGCTCTTCCATCCCGATGTAGTCACCGATGAAGTTGCGGTTGATGCTGTTCCGCCGTCTCTCCTTCTTGTTCAGCAACAGGTCGGAGGCTGCACACAATTCCCCAGAGGGAGAAGGAAAAGGATCAGTCAGCCGGAAAAAGGAGGACGACTCAGAGTGGAAACGCACAAAGCAATTCTAAACGATGCGAGATATTTAGCTCATGGCTTTCTATGCCGAATAAAACAGAATGTGCAGCTTCGTTTAAACGCAAACTTATTCTTGGGATTTGTAGAAGGCATGGAAGAAAAATATGAAAAGTACCTTCTTCTCTCATTTGGACATATTTCTTCCTGGCCACGAACTTTCTCCATGTTTTCTGGATCACTCGAGCATACCCGTCATACTTTCTCTCTCTCATTTCTTCTAGAAGGAATAGCTGGGCATACAGAGAAAAGAAATGTGAGCCAATCCACAAGTCCAGAATGTCACTTGTCCCTGTTGTTGACTCAAGGACACTTAGTGAGGTCAAGCGGCTTCTCAGACTCATGAACAAATGACTAAAAGTGGACTATGGCATGTCGTTCATGAGCTCTAGACATTATTTGTCCACACATTTTTGGCTTTTAATGAGAAGCAATGGGAAACCTGGGTATGCTGTGATGATCTGAGCCCCGCTTTGCTCAGAGGCTCTGTGACTTATTTCTCAACTGATTCACAGAGGACAGTAGGTGGCCAGGTCCAATGAGTTGGTAGAGCTGGCTGTTGATGCTGAGTACCTTTCTATGTACCTCTAAATAGAATCCCCCAACTTCTGCAGGAGCAGAGCTAGCAATGAGGGAGGAGGAGAGCCACCCTACTTTCACTGCCATGAGGTCTCGACTTCCTGCCACATCGGATTCTCCAAGGAATCATGGGCAGAGGATGATAGCCACAGCCATTGGAGCTGAATACAGACTCCAGCGCGAGTTAGAACTTGGACTTTCTAGGGAGGGTGAAGCACTATTGAGAGCTCCTGGCAGATCTGGAGATGTAAACTTCCTGTCAAACTTTAACAATTAATACTGATGGCTCTTGTGCACTCAGCCAGGCCTTGGAGCCTCGAAGAGGATAACAAACAGCTCTAGTAGGCAGAGTGCCCATCACGGGTCCGGAATCATCCCAGACACTTCAGGTACATTATTTCATTCAACATCTCAGACACTACTTGAGCCACATATCTCCACTTTTCCAGATGGGAAGACTGGAGCTGGGTTGGGTAGGGCTGGAAAGGGAAGCAAGGTCTTTCAGGCTCTGCCAGGCTGTGCCTTCATTAGGACCTACAAGTCTTTTTTCCCAAAATCTGAATTTGATCAACTCATAAGAGTGCGAAAAATTTCTCATCCACCTTGGAAGTGGTTTACACAACTCTCTAGGAAAAAAATAAACAGGCCAATATAAACCCAAAGTAAAAATGATAAACAGTCATTGCACAAATGTTCCAGAAGTAAACAAGGGAATTGGGTTGGGAGGTAGCTGGGTTTGATTTCTTGTCTCTGTTTACTTGGGTGTGTACCCAGAAGCCATACTTCTGCCACCCAACTTCTCCCTCTCACAGCCCTAGCTGTGCAGAAACATCTCAACAGTAAATATCAGAGGAGGGGATGCTTAACTGCATAGGCCATATGCAATGGGCCTAATGAATATATTCTAAACCCAACAACTGGGCAGAACCTTTAAAATCTGAGCTTTGTGGCTGCCTGTTGGTAAAACTCTCCGTTGATGTTTTCTGTCTTGTTTGCTGGGTCACGTTTCCTTCTTCTTTTCTAGAACTAATTTAGGAGTGTCACAGGAAATACATTTGTGACTCAGAGAAAGAGTGGAGTGGTAAACAGTTTGCAATGTCCTCTAGATGTGGGTCTTAGGTTTGTGTTGGTTCAAGAAGAAAGAGAATAAAGACAGAGAGAAAAGTCAAGAATGTGGATGCATGTAAGAAGAACAATAACAAAACCAAACTCTTTGGTGTTTGATGTCCAATAAGTTTTTAGTTTTGTTTGAGAGTCTTGCTATATAGCTTAGGCAGGCTTTGAACTCACGATCCTTCTGGCTCAACCTCCTGAGGGCTGGGATTTGCAAGCGTGTGCTACCTTACCTGGCTGCTGATGTCAGTTTTTAAAGCAAATAGGTCATCTTGTGTATTCAGCAGCCTTACTATAAAAGTTAAGGCAAGAGCTGCGCATGTGGTATTGTGCCTGTAATCCCAGCACTCAGAAGGTTGAGGCAGAAGGAGTGCAAGTTCAAGGTCAGCCTGCCCTACATAATGAGACTCTGTTTCAAACCCAAACAACAACTAAAAACCAAAGCAACATCAAAAAGTTAAGGTAAAAATTACAGGGCAAATTTTAAAACCCAACTTTTGTGAAAGTATTTGCAAGTTGGGGCTACATGTGAATAGAAGAGGTTGGGGGAGGGAGGTGATGCTCTGCATGTGCACACATGCGTGTGCGTGTGTGTGTGTGAAGATGGGGAAAGAAGAGTTAAGAGATGGCAATAAGGCAATTGGGAGGAAAGCAGGAAAAAGGAAAACCAAAAATAAATCTTGGTTTTGGATATAAACTCTTAAAGCTCAACTGAATCAGAATAAAAAAGCATGAAAAATATTGAGGCCGTTTTAATTATACATGAAAAATTAGCAAGTCGAAAAGTGAAAGTGGTAGGAAGCAGCAGAGCTGTGCAGTGTCCTGACAAATCACTCCGTCCCGTTTTAGAAAGAACGGGAACGGCTCTGTGGGCTGCTTAATGGCGAATGACACAACATTTTCATTTTATATTTGGAAATGAAATTGCTGTGGAGCTACAAATAACTCAAAGTGGAAAAATGTTACCACAAACTTTTCATAAACGGGTGCTGTTGGTGTGTGCTGCTTATGTATGTAATAATCTTCAAGGTTTGCCAAGCCATTCAGTGACCACCATTAATGCTGAGTGTCACCAGGCCCAACCCTTGAGGCAGAAGGAAACTGCTGGGAGACCAGCATCTGCCTGAAGTCAGGTGTATCTACTTCTACCAACACCACAAGTTCCCTTGTGATTTCTCCTTGGTCTGATGACTAATTTTGCCAACTTCACTACTGACTCTCTTTTTCTTTTTTTGGTGGTCCTGGGGTTTGAACTCAAGGCCTCATGCTTGCTAGGCAAACACTCTACCACTTGAGCCATTCTCTCAGCCCATTACTTACTCTTAAAATGGAGTCTTTTGATGGTTACAGGAAATTTCCAGAAATGATGAGGCCAAACCTCACCTCCAGCACTTTCTTCAACTTAAAAAAGCAATGTCTTTATTCCATAGGGCCGGAGTTAAGTGGGCAGAATTGCTAAGGAGCTCTTTTGGGGTCCTGCTTAAATGCAGAACTTCCTATGGACATTCACCAGTGATCCTATCCATCAGGAAAGATAAAGAAGTTTCCCTAACTGAATTTGTAGAGGATTGACATGCTTATGACATGTAAATATGTATGTCTGAATGTTCAGTTAACCCAGAGATTTCTCCTCTGGCCAGTTCTTCTCCTCAAAGCCCTTCCCGGGCTCCTCGTGGTTCTAGTACTGTTCTGGGAATGCCCTGAACTCTGCTCCACCTTCAAGGAGCATGCTGAGTCTGTGTTTGGGGTCACCCAGACAAGGATATATTGTTGCCCAAGCCTCCTCTGTGGCACAAACAACCTAGTCCCTTTTCAGTTTAGATACCTTTTTTTTTTTTTTTGTAGTACTAGGGTTTGAACTCAGGGCCTGTACTTTGAGCCACTCCACCAGCCCTTTTTTTTGTGATGGGTATTTTTGAGATAGGGTCTCTTGAACTATTTGCTCAGGCTGGTTTCAAACTGCGGCCCTCCTGGTCTCTGCCTCCTGAGTAGCTGGGATTACAGGCATGAGCCACTGGTGCCCAGCCAACTTAGACAGGGCACTCTCTATCTGAAGCTCTGGGTATACAATGGCACCCAAAACAGAGTCCCTCAGGGAGATTCTTGCCTAGAAGGGGAGACAGTAAGGAAGAAAAGGAGCTATTATAGGGCGACATTTTTTTATACAGCTAAGTTCTCTGAAGGCAGTGAGCTAGGGAGTCACAGCACTTAGGGAGTTGAGTATAAGGATGACCCACTTAGATTGGGAGGGGAGGAAAGGCTTCTTCCAGAGGTGGTATTTAAGACATGAACCAAACAACAAACAACAGCAGCTGGCCACATGGTGGGACGGCTGGTGGAGGTGTTGCAGGTGGGAAAATGAGAGGAGGAGGCCATGCACTCACAGACTCGGGGGCTTTGATGAAGACTTTGTTCTTTCCCAACTGAAACTGGTCACTGTCCATGTTGACGGACTGCAGCAGGTGGAGGACGCCTTGTTTCTCGTCTCCTCTCCACACAGGCCAGGTGGCTTGGTCAGAATGGCATACCTGCAAGGACAAGTGGGGAGAGGATCAGCCTCAGAATGGATGGCCTGGGTTGTCTGCAGGGTGAGGCAGCTCCACCTGGCTCTGTGGGCACCTGCTGAGGATGCTGGACAGCCACCATCTACTCACCTCTGCTTAAAGATATGGGAATGGACCTTGTCTGGAAGAGTCCTCCAAGTGTGGGATGCCCATTAGGGCCTCCTCCTATTTGTTACCCCACTGTATCCATGCTAACACCCTGCTGAAAGTCTGCTTTCCCTTTCTGCTACTGCCTCAAAATAGTCCTGCTGAAGGTCAGCAGTGATACTCTCCAGGCAAAAGCAAATGGTCTTTCTCAGTACTGATCAACCTGGATCTCAGAGCACTTACAATAACACAAAGAGTGTTAGAAAGTTCCCTCCACATATGCAGCTCGTTACTAGTACATATGACTACTACCAACTTCCACCTTTGAAATTCTGTGCATCTGAGGCATAGGGCCCTATAGATCTGGGCCTGGCTATCTCCAACCTTGTTGCTTCTACTCTGCCTTTGGCTCACAATGGTCCTTGGAAGATGGCTTGTTCTTCACACACACTAAACTCCCTTTCCCCTTCTGCCTGGTGTGCTATTCTCCAAGCTACTTGCTTGACTGGCTCCTCTTCAGAGTGACTCACCTTCAGGGATACTTCTTTCTATCCAAAATTGCTTCCCTGTTATTTTCTGTCAGAGCAAACAGTATTTTTCCTTCAGAGCATGTACCATCATTTGTAATTATATTCATGATTGTGTTTATTTGGTTAATTTGTGTTTTCCCCCTTAAGGATGTCACACCTGTGATGTTCATACTGCTCACCCAGCACCTTGCCCAATGTCTGGCTGGCAGCAGTGCTAACTCTTGGGAATGGCTAACACTTATAAGGGCTGTTCACTCTGTGTCAGGTGCTATGAGGGGTGCTTTAGATATATGACCTCATTTTATTCTTCTAGCAACTTGATCGAGTTGGTTTCCCAATTTGCTAAGTAAGAGGCAGAGACAAATAGATACTTGTCCAAGCCTACTTAGTTATGAAGAGTCAGAGATGGGATTTGAACCCCAATCAATCTCTTCAGTCCTGGCACTGAGTGTAAACCATGGGCTAGCTTATGTGTAACAGTCTTCTACACCTGCATATGTTGGAAACATTGCTATTAAGTCAGAGTCTTGATGTAATGGAGGAGAGAGAAGCATATCACAAGATGTCAAGTACAGAAGGAAATGTCAGAGTGTACAGGTGTGCAGTTGGAGGGCGTAGGCCATGTGTACGCATACCTAGGGCACATGCTCCTAGGGCTGGAGAGACCAGGACGCCACTGTGTTCCCAGAAACGACTATCAGAATTGGACTGGCTTACAGCAGCCAAGGAAGAAGGGAGCTTGAGAACTGTGGCCATGCCTGCCAGAGTCCAGGGCTCCAGAAGGCCAGCTGGTTGGGACTAAGGTGATTCTAGGAGCCCTTTCTGCTATAATAACAATATCTTGTCTGGCAATATCACAAATTTCCTGAAAAATAAATCTTCCTATTTCCTAATCGGAGATAAAAAGCTTAAAAGTGAAAATGTTTAGTTGAAGCCGCGTATTAGCATGAGTAAATTATGGATGTGGTACAATGATGTTAATTCAACAAACAAAACTGCACATAAATAAATGATTGATGGCAGAGCCCTTCTGGATGTGATGGAGAGAGTGGTGGCAAGGTGAGGAGATCCTGACAAGCTAGATGGGTGAGGAAGGGAGGCTTCTGGAGGGTACAGTAAGAAACCTAAGACTAGGCTGCCAAGGTGACCAGTTTCTAAGAGTAATTTTGCCTGCCTTGATCTGATCAAAAATTACAAACTAAAGTATCTTTATTGTGCAACTAATTGCTAATAATAGGTCACTAGTGCAACTCAGATCTCTTTTCCTATAAAAACAATGCTGCATTTCTTTCGTTTGATTTTTTTTTGTGGGGGGAGGTGGTTATTGGGGTTTGAACTCAGATGCTTTATTGCTTGAGCAACAACTCCAGCTCTGATTTTTTTTTTTTAATAGTAAGGAACTTGGCAGAGATCTTCTCTCTCATTCTGATAAGGTCTCCAGTGGTGGGCAAGATTCTCAGTAATACGTGGGGATTGGCTGGTGCTTCCTCTGCTTTCCTGATACTTGGTGCATCCTCACCCACCCTCTGGTGGCCCATGAAGAGACCAGGACATAATTCTAGTAAAATGCTCTCCAGTAAGTACACTCAGCTCACTGTAAGTCCAGGATAGAACAGTGGGAACAGGTGCACAAGACAATGGTCGGCTGTCTAACAGGTAACTGTGGTAATTTTGGGGAGATAGTGGTAACAGCTTCTAGTTCTTGATCAGACATTCTAAAAAATACCAATGTTTCCTCTCAAAGGCCTTTGAGCTGGCTGTTCTCTCTGCCTGGAATTCTCTACCTGCCCTTAGACTGATAGGGTCCTTGTTATCTCTTGGGTCACAGATCCAATGTCTCCTTCTCAGAGAAAATGCTGCTCAGACCCTAGGGATCTCTGGTACTTGGAGTTAAGGATGATCTGAGGTTCCAAGGACAATAAAAAATCCTGACAGCCTGGAGGAAGCTACCACTCCATGCTTTCCTGGTTTCTGATTCTTTCTGCTCTCTTGTCCACAGCAAGGAATGCTGTTCCTGATGATGTATGTCTTACCCACCCCCACATTCTGAGGGACTGGGTGAAGGGCAAGGAAAGGATGACTGTGAGGAAGCATAACCTGTGCTGTATAATAAAATTTGCAAATCCCTTATATGTCTACCACACTTTTCTCCCTAAGGGTCAGAATTCACATCTGGGTTTACTTTTTTCTTCTGCTCATAGTGAGGAGAACAAATTACCTCACTTTGAGAGTTTTCTGATGATTTAAAAGATATATTCGTAAGCCAAGACTCAACATGGCTGCCATTCAAAAACACTTTCTAAAGATTGATGAAAAGGGGTCTTCTTTCTATGCTCAAAGTAGTGTAGGATTTACTTCAAGAGCTCATGGACCACCAGTGGGGAAATTAAGGAATCTTTTAAAATTTACTCTCCAATGTTTAGTCAAAAAGGGATTTTCCAGAGAGAAATAAACACACAATAAACATACACACTATTTTCTAAGTCACCAGTACCCTCTAGTAGTGTCAGAACCATTGCTCTGTGTAGGCCTGTGGGCTTCCTTTCCAGGAATGGGTGGTAATACATGCTGGAATGGACAGTTGGGCTGGGTATTATTAAATGCTTTCCCTCAGGCTTTTACTTTCTGTTGATCACTTGGTGGTCTTTCTGTGGATACCTAGGAGACAAATTTATAAGCCAAGCCTTGGAAAGTCTAATGGTTCCAATTTTTACAAGATCTGACTGGGGCAGACAGTCAGCAGCTGAATGAATTTGACATGACCAGGACTGCAGATTCATATAAGTTTAGGGAGAGTAGTGCTACCTGCAGAGAAGTAGCTCCTGCCATTGGCATGTCTGGTCTTCAAGTTAACTTTTTTAGTGGATCATTTCAATAACAGTTTTGAGATACAGTGTGGGGTATGGAAAATACACTTTTTATTAAAAAATAAATTTCCTTCTAAACTGAATTTTGATTCTTGTCCCAGTATTCTCAAACCAAGAGAAATATGGCAACAATAAAAGAGCCTACTTTTTAAAAGACAGGGCTGTCTATGTGTCTCTTCTGAAAGGAAAAGCCCACAGCAGGGAAGCCAAGAAGGGAGGCATCCATGGTTAGATTTACTTGAATGAATGCTTCATAACATATGGGCAGAAAAGATCTCACCAAATGCCTGTGTAAGGCATAGTGCAAAGTTCTGTGCAAGGCATGACACAGAGGTCTCTATATAATGACCAACAAAGTCATTTGTCAGCTCACTCAAGGAGCTGGTACAAACAAGTCAAACATCTTGCCCAGGGTCCCATGGGCTTCAGAAGCATGGGGCATTTCTAAGAGGAGTGCATGGACTTCCGGGATGGCAGAACTTACAGACCTACTTAGGGAAGTTAGGTTAGTTGGCTAATTTTTTTTTTGTGGTACTGGGATTTGAACTCAGGGCCTCAAGCTTGTTAGGCAGGGACTCCACTACTTGAACCATGCCCCTAGCTGTGGTTGGTTGGTTTTAAAATTATTATTATTATTATTTTTTCTTTTATTTATATGTGCATACTATGTTTGGGTCGTTTTGGTTGGTTTTTTTTAAAGGAGGTAGAAGGAAGGTGGTCTTTCAGTTTTTAATAATGCCCCTTAGAGAGACCTTGAAAATGCCAAATTTAGAGAGATTTCATCTGTTTATTAATTGATTGATTGATTGCAGTGCTGGGGATTGATCCAGAGCATAGTGTATGCCAGGTAAGTGCTCTGCCACTTGAGCTACATCCCCAGCCTTTGGATTTTTGAGACAAGGTCTTACTATTTAGCCTAAGCTGACCTTGAACTTGTTATGTAGCCCAGGCTAGCCTTGAATTCTCAATCCTCCTGTTTCAGCCTCTTGAGTGCTGAAATCATAGGCATGCATAATCATACCTAGCAAGTAGATTTTGAGTACATGAAACACAGCAGAGAAGGAAAAAATTACAATTTGTAGTACTGTCGAAGGCAGGTCTTTCTGAATTAGGGATAGAAGAATTACTTTTATATTCACTATTTTCTATATATAATTTTTTTCTCCTAATTAGAAAGAAAGGTACTTTCAAAGAAATACAGTCTTGCAAAAAGTTTTAATGATGCTTTATGCCAGTGGTTCTATAGCTATGTTTCCAGGTAGCATTAGGTAACACCTGCACAGAATTTTGGTTGTCACCACTGGGAAGAGAGCACACTACTGGCACTTAGTAGGTAGAATCCAAGAAGACTGAGAAGCATCTTACAATGCATGGGACAAAAAGTCATCCAGCTCCAAATGTCAACAGCCATGGTTGAGAAGATCTCTTCTTACACAATGTCACTGACCTATTTAAGGAAGGTCAAAGTGTCACAACCAACATGTAAGCTGTTTCTCAGTGAAAGATGGTGCCCCAGTAAGAGGAAGTCTCTATAAAGTTGTGTTCTTACCTCCCAAATGCTTTTTCATACAGTCCTACTTATACAACTGGTGTATTGGCACCTATAATTCAGAGAATAGCAAGGGTGAATTTTATTTCTGGTCTAACCCACCTCCAAGATTATCAGGAATCTTGAATGTGTGAGAACTAAGTGAATGAAACTTTATTATAGGAGAGACCAACCTTTTCTTAAAACCTCCAGCTGATGGGTCAGCTGTGCTAATCTCATGGTGGGCACAGGAAGTGATGGGTTTCAAAGACCACGCTAAGCTCCTCAGCCTCTTGGTTCTTTGTTACATTAAATTTAAATAGAAAACAAAATCTATACCTGCCTCTGTGTCATACCCCAGGAAGCCATATTGTTTTCTGATTAAGATGCTAACTTTCCTTCCTTCCTTCTTTCTTTCCCTCTCTCCTTCCTTCCTTCCTTCTTTCCCTCTCTCCTTCTTCCTTCCTTCCTTCCTTCCTTCCTTCTTTCCCTCTCTCCTTCCTTCCTTTCTTCCTTCCTTCTTTCCTTCCTTCCTTCTTTCCCTCTCTCCTTCCTTCCTTTCTTCCTTCCTTCTTTCCTTCCTTCCTTCCCTTCCTTCCTTCCTTCCTTCCTTCCTTCCTTCCTTCCTTCCTTCCTTCCTTCTTTCCTTCCTTCCTTCTTTCCCTCTCTCCTTCCTCCCTTTCTTCCTTCCTAATTTCTTCTTAAAAGAAATTAAATACATACAGACAACACAGTGGAACACCATACCATAGGACCACCAGAGAAGTCAGAAGAACATCATATTTTAAGGGCACTAAGTTTTATCCTTTTCAAAAACAAGTAACACAAAATGAGAACCATTTAAGGCTAGGTCCTGCCAAATATGCTTTAAGGGAAATAAAAAATCAGTTTAAATTTAAACATGGAGTCTATAGAAATTTTGAAGTTAAATACGTTATTTCTTAAGTAGGCTAAGTATTTTTTCTGTAAATTTTTTTTGTGGGGGCGGTACTGGGGTTTGAACTCAGGGCCTCGTGCTTGCTAGGCAGGTGCTTCACCTCTTGAGCCCCTCCACCAGCCCTGCAATTGTTTTCTTCCGGTCAATTCCCTCAGTCAAGTTGAAGCTCGGCTCATCTATGTTAAAATCCTATCAGTTCTTGAAGTTAAGTGTTCCAATCCACTCAGTCTATGAAACACCTGTGGCTACTGATGTATTTTACAATAAGTAATGGTAAAAACAATTCTATTATAACTTAAATTATAAAAAGACAAACATACCCCAAAAATTGGGTAAAGGACTTGAACTGACATTTCTTCAAAGAGGAAATAAAAACGGCCAATAAGCAAATGAAAAGACGCTGAGTATCCTTTGCCATCTGGGAAATGCAAAGCAAAACCACAAAGATATGCCGCTTCACACCCACCAGGAGGATTAGTCAGCTATTAACATCGGTTGGCAAGGACTGGGATAGAATGGAATCCTCAAATACTGCTGGCACGATGTACAATGGTTCATCCACTTGGGAAAACAGCAGGGCAGCTTGTCAAAAAGGTTAAACACAGAGTTACCACATGACTCAGCAGTTCCACTTTTAGGGATACACCCACAAGAAATGAAAATACATTTCCTCACCAGACTTATACATGAATTTTCACAGCATTGTTCAGAATGGCCAAAAAGTGGAATCAGCCAATGTTTACTAACTAATGAATGAACAAGCAAAATGTGGTGTGTCTACTCAATAGAACGTTATTCACCAATGAATAGGGTGGAAGGGCAGACATGCTACATCATGGAAGAACCTTGGAAATACTGTTAAGTGAAGGAAGCAAGTCACAAAGGACACACGTATGACTGTTTGTATGAGGAGCCCTGCATAGGCAAATCTATAGTGATAGACAGTACATGAGTGACTGCCTAGGATGGGGTAGGAGGGGAATTAAGAGTTGACAATCAAGGAGAGTGTGTCTTCTTTTCAGAGTAAGAAAGTATTCCAAAATTGTGGGAGATGCACAATCTGCAGGTGTATTAAAATCTGTTAAACCATAAGCTTTCACATGGGTGAATTGCTTAGTATGCCATTGTATCTCAATAACCAGTTTTAAAAAGATGTCTAGAGTCATTGTTTTATTACCTCTGTAGGAATTTCTGGAAGATGCGCCGATAGGCATACCCAGCTCTCCTCACTCGGATGTTTTCCTTCAGACCCAGATACTCTACTTGATGCTTCACCCTGGAAAGAAGAAGATGGAACCCGACATCACTGGATAATTCTTTCACACTGCCCCAAACCCCAATTCCAAATTGCAGAGTAACATTAAAAAGTAATTTATAATTTATAGTATTCAGACATCGAGTCGACCTCTTAAATTGTATAATATTAATTTTTAAAACATAAAGTATGACAATTACACAAGAGGATATTACATATTATTTTGAGGACAAATAGTAAAATAAAAACCCATCTGCCAGGCATGGTGGCAGGTGCCTGTAGTCCTAGCTATTCAGGAGGCTGAAGCAGGAGGATCTCTCTCTTTTTATATTTTATTCATTTATTCACATGTGCATACATTGTTTGGGTCATTTCTCCCCCCTGCCCTCACCTTCTCCCTTGCTTCCAGGCAGAACCTGTTCTGCCCTTTTCTCCAGTTTTGTTGAAGAGAAGACATAAGAAAGACAAAGCGTTTTTGCTAGTTGAGATAAGGATAGCTATACAGAGAGATTCCTAGCATCGCTTCCACGCACAAGTGTGTTACAAGCCGAATTGATTCATCTCTACCTGACCTCTTCACTAGTTTCAGATCCCCTTCCCATAGTGACCTCTGTTGCTTTAAGGTTTCTGTATTCAGGAGGATTTCTTGAACTCAGGAGTTTGATGCCAGCCTGAGCAACACAGTGAGACTTCATCTCAAAAAAAAAAAAAGGGGGGGGGTGGAGAAAAGGGAAGGGCTGAGTTCAGATATTCAGGAGGCTAATATCGGGAGGATCACAGTTCAAGGCTAGTCCTCGGCAAAAATGCAAGACCCTACCTGAAAAATAACTAAAGTCACAAAAAGGGCTGAGGGTGTGGTGAAGTGGTACTGTACTCACTGAAGGTGTGAGGCCCTGAGTGCAAACCCAGTACCACCAAAACAATAATCAGATTACGAACAAAAATAGTTTCTTCAAAAGGAAATAGCTTTCAAACTCAATGATATGGGCGTGGTTTTTGTTATTGAACTTAAATTTAATATTGATTCTAGGCCTAATGAGACTATGCTTCTAAGATTTTTCTAATGCAAGTTAAGTAAATGAAGCTACTAATTTCAAATGACCAAGTTTAAAATGGTCTAAAATAAGCCTGAATTATATTTCCAGTTGGTCTACCACCACGCCTGGCCCCTTTGTTGGTTTTTATAATAGTAAAAATCTGTCAGTGTTCACTGAATGAATGCAGAATCTTCTACACTGAAGTTCTCACACATAGGCCTTTTTATTTATTTGTTTGTTTGTTTGTTTTTCATTTTATTATTATTCATATGTTTTATTATTCATATGTGCATACAAGGCTTGGTTCATTTCTCCCCCCTGCCCCCACCCCCTCCCTTACCACCCACTCCGCCCCCTCCCTCTCCCCCCACCAATACCCAGCAGAAACTATTTTGCCCTTATTTCTAATTTTGTTGTAGAGAGAGTATAAGCAATAATAGGAAGGAACAAGGGTTTTTGCTGGTTGAGATAAGGATAGCTATACAGGGCATTGACTCACATTGATTTCCTGTGCGTGGGTGTTACCTTCTAGGTTAATTCTTTTTGATCTAACCTTTTCTCTATCCTGTCCCTTTTCCTATTGGCCTCAGTTGCTTTAAGGTATCTGCTTTAGTTTCTCTGCATTAAGGGCAACAAATGCTAGCTAGTTTTTTAGGTGTCTTACCTATCCTCACCCCTCCTTGTGTGCTCTCGCTTTTATCATATGCTCAAGTCCAATCCCTTGTTGTGTTTGCCCTTGATTAATGTCCACATATGAGGGAGAACATACGATTTTTGGTCTTTTGGGCCAGGCTAACCTCACTCAGAATGATGTTCTCCAATTCCATCCATTTAACCAGCGAATGATAACATTTCGTTCTTCTTCATGGCTGCATAAATTCCATTGTGTATAGATACCACATTTTCTTAATCCATTCGTCAGTGCTGGGGCATCTTGGCTGTTTCCATAACTTGGCTATTGTGAATAGTGCCGCAATAAACATGGATGTGCAGGTGCCTCTGGAGTAACCTGTGTCACAGCCTTTTGGGTATATCCCCAAGAGTGGTATTACTGGATCAAATGGTAGATCTATGTCTAGCTTTTTAAGTAGCCTCCAAATATTTTTCCAGAGTGGTTGTACTAGTTTACATTCCCACCAACAGTGTAAGAGGGTTCCTTTTTCCCCACATCCTCGCCAACACCTGTTGTTGGTGGTGTTGCTGATGATGGCTATTCTAACAGGGGTGAGGTGGAATCTTAGCGTGGTTTTAATTTGCATTTCCTTTATTGCTAGAGATGGTGAGCATTTTTTCATGTGTTTTCTGGCCATCTGAATTTCTTCTTTTGAGAAAGTTCTGTTTAGTTCACTTGCCCATTTCTTTATTGGTTCATTAGTTTTGGGAGAATTTAGTTTTTTAAGTTCCCTATATATTCTGGTTATCAGTCCTTTGTCTGATGTATAGTTGGCAAATATTTTCTCCCACTCTGTGGGTGTTCTCTTCAGTTTAGAGACCATTTCTTTTGATGAACAGAAGCTTTTTAGTTTTATGAGGTGCCATTTATCTATGCTATCTCTTAGTTGCTGTGCTGCTGGGGTTTTGTTGAGAAAGTTCTTACCTATACCTACTAACTCCAGAGTATTTCCTACTCTTTCCTGTATCAACTTAAGAGTTTGGGGTCTGATATTAAGATCCTTGATCCATTTTGAGTTAATCTTGGTATAGGGTGATATACATGGATCTAATTTCAGTTTTTTGCAGACTGCTAACCAGTTTTCCCAGCAGTTTTTGTTGAAGAGGCTGCTATTTCTCCATCGTATATTTTTAGCTCCTTTGTCAAAGACAAGTTGGTTATAGGTGTGTGGCTTCATATCTGGATCCTCTATTCTGTTCCACTGGTCTTCATGTCTGTTTTTGTGCCAGTACCATGCTGTTTTTATTGTTATTGCTTTGTAATATAGTTTGAAGTCAGGTATTGTGATACCTCCTGCATTGTTCTTTTGACTGAGTATTGCCATAGGCCTTTTTATATCGTGCCTGAGATATGCTGGCTTAGTAGGCTGATAGGTTAGGAGCTGTGTGGACACAAATGTCATGAAAACCCAGGCCTGTGCTGAAAAACAGTGTCCCTAATGCCCACAGACAGATGCTGAACACCTGTGCGATCCTCTGGAGGGACAAGCTGGGTCAGTATCATTCAGGATGGCTGAGTACAGACACTTGGAGACCTGGTGTTTGAGAAAACTAGAAATAAAAAGTAAGCTCCCTTTGCAAACAGGGAGTCATAACCGTGTTGTGGTGGGAAGGTAACCTCTTATGCTCCCCACTTGGTACATTTTGGGTCAGCTGCACTAAGGATGGGGTCCAGACCATGACCTTTTATGACCTGCTGTGTCGTAAGGTAATGAGCAACACCCTCACTGGGTGTTCCTCATAGGCGTCTCCCCAGCAAGGCCGTCATGGAAGTCACTTCCAACTAAGCCTCACACTTGCTGTTGACACTGTTGACTACTATGCGCCAGGCACGCAGCATCTCAAAGCAAGGTACGAGGGACACAAAAAATGGCAATGTTCTGTTCCTGTTGGAGACCATGCAGCTAGCACTGTGGTGACAAGCCAGGTTCTGGAGCTGGGTTCCTGGGGCCCTCTGGATTCTGCCACCATGTGGCCTCTCTGCACCTTGATTTCGTCTTCTGTAAATGAGGATGGCGATGTGAGCTGTTCATTTCTAGTTGGGTACCATCCATTAAAGTGCTTAGTTCCTCGTATGAGTGATGCACAGCTGTTACTATTCTAGTATATTCCCAGCTACAGTAAGTACACCGGGACAGGAGAGTAGAGAGAGGAAAGGATTTTTCCCAGCAGGCCATTCTCAGAATGTAGCTGTGAAACTCCAGGAGGTGCGGGGCCCTGATGCCATGAGAAGATGGGGCCTCTCAGGGAGGGATGGTTGAAGTCTCCACTGGGCTTACTTGAGCCGACATTCAGAAATGTTGACTCCTTCAGAAAAACTCATTTTCCCCCTTTTTCTTCCTTTTTTAAAAAGTGGTACTGAGGTTGAACTTAGGGCCTTGTGCCTGCTAGGGTAGGTGCTCCACCCTTGAAGAATATACTTCCAGTTCTTTTTGCTTTGGGTTATTTTTCAGATGGGGTCTCAAATTTTGCCCAGAATCAGCCTCAGACTCAAAATCCTCCTATCTATGCCTCCCACATAGTTGAAATAACAGGTGGGTATCATCATGCCCGGCTTGTTTGTTGAGATGGGGTCTTGCTAACGTTTTGCTCAGGCTGGCCTCAGAACGTAACTCTACTGACGTCTGCCTCTGAGTAGCTGGAATTACAGGTATGAGCCACTGTGTCTGGCCCAGAACTAACTTTTTAAAAGCCTTTATATGAAAGAATTATTATTATTGCTATTAGTAGTAGTAGCAGTACTGAGGATTGAACTCGGAGCCTTGCACTGTACCACTTGAGCCACACACCCAGCCCTGAAAGAATTAATATTAAACATGCATTTTTGCTTGGATAATTGAGAGAGAGATAAAGAGAGAGGGAGAGGAGAGAGAGATAAAGACAGAGAGATAAAAACATAGAGAGAGAGATACAGAGAGAGAGAGAGACAGAGAGAGTTGTTCAACTAATGAGGTAAAAATCTGATTCAGAAGAGTAAGCACTTTTCCTTTCTCCCATCCTCCAAATCCCAAACTCACCATCGACCTTTTCTCTAGTAAGGAGAGGCACTCGAAGTGCCCACTTCTGATGTTTTCTCCTTTTCACAAACAGGAGCTTCACTCCAAGCCTTTGAGGCAGGAATGACACCCACCAATTCAAGAGAAATGCTCCTTTCCCATGAATCCCACAGGAAAGAAGAGTCCTCGTGGTAAACCGCTGTCTCACTCATTATCACTGCCACCATCAGGACATTTTCTTACAGAATTTCCTTCTGTGAGGCTAGCAGGCTCCCAGATCCTGTAATGTGTAAAATTCATGCTTTCACAGGACCCAGGTTGCTTTTTGCATATTCTCCTCAGTAGACACTGGGTAGACCTGACCCAGGTATTGCCCTAGGTGAGCCATTTCTGCCCCCTCCATACTATCCTCACAGACTCAACTAGGCCACTATCTGAGAATTCCACAAGGGCAGCAATTACGAATTCAGGGCAAGCAAAGCTGCCAGAAGCCAAACAAAAACACATTTGCAACAGGAAGAGACAAAAATCCCACATCCCATAAACTTGTGGAATGAGTAACCCTCTCCACTGAGGGCTTCAACTGAGCGTGTAATCCCGGCCAGCAACACATGGCTCTCCACACTCTTGATGAAGTGAAGCCATCTGCACACAAACCTGACCGAGGCTACGGGGGGGAATCCTAAGAAACAGAAATCCTATTGGAAATGGAAACCAACACATGACCAAAGCACACCTTGAATCACGTCATATGAATGCAGATCAAGTTCTTTGCCAAAACTCAGTAAGGGGAGTCACTAAAGGAGAGAGAGGAGAAGAAGGAAAGGAAAGGAAAGGAAAAATATCATGGAGGAATCCTATGAGAATTTATGGAATGTATCAGTGTCTTGATTTCTGTTTTCTGATATTGTAATGAATCAGGTTGGATTTTATGAGCAGGTAGCATCAGGATTGGGGAACTTGCAGGCAGTAGCTGCGGTACAATTCTGTATCAGGAGGTTTGAGGAAGGGTGTACTACATTTGAAAGGCAAATGAGAAGTTTTTATTTAAGATATTTGCTAGGAAGAGCTGGGGAAGGAAAGAAGGACAGTATGAACTGAGAGAAGAGTGGGCTAATGCACCTTGAAGCCACACTTTGTTCCCAAGACTCTTTCATAACTTATTTCTGAGGTTGCTTGTGACTCCACCCTTCTGCTATGTGTGTGTGTGTGTGTGTGTGTGTGTGTGTGTATGTGCCTGTGCATGCAGGAGTGTGTGCATAGGTTGGCATGCGTGTGCATGGTGCACGCAGGTATGTGTGAGTGACAAGAGACAGAGCCCAGCAATGGCCACTGGGCCCAGATCCAAAAATCTTCATTCTCTCTGACACAAGAAGATCCCATTCTAGACTGACTCTCTTTGTTTAAAGAGGGAGAAATTGAGGATGGAGGAGATAAAATGCTTCATTCAAACTAGTAAGTGATGAGCCAGCACTAATCATAATTATTTAAAATCCTAGGCCAGCCCCTGGCTGGAGACCAGTGGTTCTGATTATGGTGCCTGACCATCATTACCAAAGTCATTGGGAAGTCTTTAAAATGCACATTCCCGAGTGCATCTCAGGTTCACACAATCAGATACTCCAGAAACAAGGCTCAGCAATCTGAGTTTTAACACTGCATGTTCAAGTTGGAGAACCAGCACTAGAGAGCAAGAGAAGTTTTTAATTAGTAAGTGGGACGAGACAATGATGCTGCTGATATCTTAGCTTCAAAGGGGAAACTGAGCTACACAATTCAGAAAAGCCAAGGACAGATTAAGTACATCCAGGAGGATGAGCAAAATGGGGGCTGTGAGGTTCCACATGCCAGAGAAGTATTGGAAGAACAGAGTGATTCTCCAGTGCAGAGGAGATTCAAGGGAAACATGGTGGCCACCCGAACCAATGGGGAGCTGCCAAGGAGGAAAGTGAGGAGTGCATAATACTGGTGGTGGATTAGAGACCTGGGACTAGGATGAACGTGACCTGGAGAAGGATTGTGGAGCTGCCTGAGACAGTCATCTAAAGATGGAGTGGTCACCTTGGGAGGTGCCAGGTCCTCATCAGAGCCTGAATCTCATTAACTGAGAACGCTGTGAGTAGAATCTCAGATGGCATTCAATTGACAATTCGAAGATCCAATGGGGGGAGGTTTAGAAATATGTATCCATCGATGAGCTTATTCAGAAAGACTGGAATGACAGGAAGGGAGACTCCCGTACCTGTCTTGAAGATGAGGAAACAGATTTCAGTCGCATCACGAAGTATTAAGTATAAAGAAGAACCTTCAACCCTTCAGACAGTGAATGTTTGACTTGGGTGGCTTTGTTGTTATTTTGTCTTGCTTTGGTTTCACTATCTGTCTTTTCCCTCCTAAAAAGGATCAAGTATTTGTTACCTGTTTGCCACAGTTGAGGAAGGAGCTTGCTGGCAGTACGGGAAATGCACTTACATGTGTCTCTCAGAGGAAGCAATTTGCAAATGTCAGTTTTAACCCGTTCTTCTTGTTGTTAACCTTTGATTTAGTTACTTGATACCTTTAACAGGTCTATTTTTTCTCCAGGAGAGAAGAAAAGGGGGCATTCTGGTAAGCTCACATCCTGGGAAGTGGTCATCTGATACCACTTTAAATATTAAAGTTACCCCACCACAAGGTCTTTCTCCTGCCCTTCTTCCTGTGTTCCCAGGAAGTGATGTCATGTCTCCTTGCAGCGTGTCTGGCTCCCAGCAGGGAGCAAACATTGAACGTTTTTACCAGTACCTTCAGTTTCCAATTCTACACCCTCATTTCATTGTGTTTAGGTCACATTCCTAAATACCAGCTGCAGGAGCAATGACTTTAGGGACGAAGGGGCTTTCCCTCTGACTTGGTCCATCCCAGTCTCTCTGCTCTTCCACATGGTGCTTAGGTGGAATTCCAGAATGTTCAGTATGTCCTGACATCTTCATAATCTACAGTAACTGACAGATAGCCTTTTAATCCTCTCTTCAGCCTCTCCCTTCTAACCCTGAGATAAATGTCCTAGGTCACATCCTGTGGGTGCCAGTCAGGAGCCAAGTGTACTAAAAGGCTACATGGAGTCTCCGACTAATTTTAAAACCATCACGACTTGCGGTATTAAGGTTTTGTTTTATTTTTTCCATCTTCCCCCAGACTAGCCACAATCAACACCATAAATTGCTAATTCTGAACAGAGTGGCACTGCTAACATTTTAGGAAAAGATAGGGGGAGAAAATATATGGATTTGTGTCCTGGAAAACTGGAGACCTAGAAGTGTCAGCATGTGTGGATAATTGTAACTGTTGCCTGTGGTGTTGGATGGCTCATCTGGGGCAGAGGTTAACGTGCAGGGCCCACCTGTGCCAGCCTTGACCTCTCCATCTGCCACCTGTACCATACCTGCTCTCCTCCCAGTCTTTGGGCTTCTTGGTTTCATTTGGTTTTATGCAGCGAATGTAGTGGGGTGTACATTTCATCAGAGTGCTCACAAGGTCATTGGCTTGTTTCTAGACAGGAAGAGCAATATCAGTTAGAGACATAGAATTTTCTCTAGACAGACGGACTTTCAAAGGAGACTTGTGTGGAAATATATGGCCAGAAATTAATCTTCATCACAATTTGCTCATTAGCTTCAAGTTAGGTCCCCTAAACTTTCCTAAAGGTCTGCTGACTTTTCTGATGATTTTATCACTCTTAAATCAGTTGGAAATTTAATTGTTCAAAGTAATTAAACATTTTTGACACAGTTAAAAAATAAAACAATAAGAAAAAAATCTTCACATACAGTTCTTTTCATGGGGAAAAAGGAAACATGTCACTAACAAATTAAGTTCAATTAATATTGATTGAGGGACTTTGCAAATAATGTTGTACTCATTAATTTTTTGGTTCATTTGTAAATTATGAGCAAGGATAAAATCTCAATATCCCCTGTGCTCTTTTTCCTGACTTCCCAATCAATGAAGATTAACCTTATTAAAATGATGGAAAATTCACAGTTAAAGTTTGAGATTTATTTAAAAAAATCTCAGAATTATAAACTTCTTGTATGCCATTTCATTCAACTTCTTCCTTAATATGTCACTTGTCAAACCTGCAGCCTCTGGGCACTTTCCTGTGTCAGATAACTCACTCCCTCACAAAGGAAAATACTCCAGATAAGGTCGTCTGTTTATTGTCTATGCACTGGGTCCCCAAAGCCGAACTGAGGTCAAGCAGAAAAAGCCACATAAATCAGGCTGGAATTGCTTAGGGTGGATTTCAAATCATGAGACTCTCACACTTTGTTTGAAGAACTGGGAGTAGAGCTCACATCAGCATTCCCAGCACACAGCTGAGCACACCCTGTGGGTCCAAGGATGTCGTACATATGCAAACGCGCCTTCCAAGCAAATCAGCATTCAGAGAGAAAAACCTCTAAAAGAAAATAGCGAAAAGGATCTCCAAGGCCAGAAAACCATCACAGAGTCAGCAGAAAGGTCTGCTTGCAATAGACAACCCTCTCTCAATTAGGGCTTTTCTGTTTTCATGCGTTTGGGAAATCTGAAACCCTTGAGAAAACTATTGGATCTGTTCACAGCAAGATGTTCATTGGTGAATGAAGTTCTCTGTTTAGATGTGCAGAAAACAGCCTTTTCTACACTGTCTGAAATTGAGGGCAGAGCTACAGAGGTTGCCCAATCAAAGCAAAGGCTGCTGCTGCTGATGGAGATTGCACTTGAAAGCAAACCTGATGATCTTTGCAACATATAAGGTGAAACTGCAGAAGGGCTGCTGAGTTGTTGAGAACAAACAAAGCTTGTTCTCTTAAAGTCTCCAATTGTTTCTAACTTTTAATTTTTGATTGAAGTTTTCATTTCCTTAAAGAACAACTTTGTAGACTCTTCAGTCCTAAGCATTTTACAGCAGACTTTCTTTTTGCTGTGGCATAAGAAAGCATGTAGAAGCAAGTGAGAGCTATGTTTACATGTCACTTGACATAGTTCTTTCCAGGTCAAATAGTCACAAACATTTACTGAGCATGCATCATGGAGAGGACACGTGGATAGCTCACTAATGCCACACAGCAACCTTATTTTTCAGATAGGAAACTGAGCCTTAAAGCAAAAAGAACTGCTCAAGACCATACAGTTTATAACAACTGGAGAAAGGCTAGAATCCAGGCCTGTGTTTCTTACTCAAAATGCTATTTTGCTTCCTAACGAGGACATGGAGTAATTTAGTGTGGCAGAAAAGGAATTAACTAGATGAAATAGGACTAGACAGAAGCCAGCAGGTTGTGGAATAATTAATTTCAACCAACAGGAATGCATCTTAGTCATCACAATTATTGTGAATTTTGATACTTTTGGGTCAATTTTACATGTCCCCAGAGGTAGCTCTGGAATTATTTAATTTATTTTTAATGCTGGGGACTGAACCCACGGCTTTGTGCATGCTAGGCAAGCACTCTACTCCTGAGCTACCTTCCTAGATCCAGCTCTTGGCCTGGGTATGTTTTTGAACACAGTGTCTCGCTATATGCCCCAGGCTGGCCTTGAACACATGATCCTCCTGCCTCAGCTTCCCAAGGGCCTGAGGTGGCTGTGAAGCAGTAACTGGATTAGTTCTAATTCCAGTCAATAAGAATCCACAGGTTGAGACAAAAAGGTATCCATAATACTTGCTTAATAGGAGCAGGGGTCAAAATATAAAATAAGACAGGACAGTGAGAACAGGCTTGGGGGAGATGCGCTCCTTCTACTCCTGGCAGATTAGTCACGGCCTGAGCGGGGGTCCCAGTTCTGTTATTTGCAAGTTAGATGACAAATCACTCAATTTTTCTGGGCCTGAGGTTCTGTAGCTGCAACCTACATACAGGTCGGTTAAATTAAAAGAACTCCAGTGTCTTAATTTCTGCAGCCAGGCCCAAGCACGGTGCCCTGTCACATTCCATCCACTACAATTCCAGCTTCCCAGTAAAGCTCTGCCCAGGCCACCTTTGCCCACTCAGAACTTGATTCTGCTTCTGATTCTAGTAGCAATCTTTTGCTCTGATTTCAATACTGTCTCTTCCAGCCACAACCATGAAAAATCTTGTGAGGTTACTAACTGCAATCCACTTATTTTTAATAAGTTGGTAAGTACACCCACCAAGTGAATAGTCTACTAATTAAATCCTAATAGATAAATTTTAAATTTTTAAATGACTAGAACCCAACAAAACACCCAACACTGAAACTACCTTGAATATAAATTTAACTTTTCTTTCAAGGAATTCAGGATCTCTTTCAGTGCTTACACTTGTAGACATTAGGATGACAATGCTGGGTACTGGTGGTTCAAACCTGTAATCCTAGCTACTTGGGAGGCTAAGACTGGGAGGATTGTGGTTCCCAGGCCAACCCAGGCAAAGGTGTTCATGAGACTCCCAGCTCGATGGAAAAAAACTGAGTATAATGAGTGCGTCTGTCATCCTAGCAACTGTGGGAAGTATAAAATAAGAGGGTCATGGCCCAGGTCACTCTGGGTAAAAAGCGAGACCCTGTCTCCAACATACCCAGAGCAAAAAGGGCTGGAGATGTGAATCAAGTGGTAGAGCAAGCACAAAGCTCTGTATCAGCAAGAAAAAGATGATACTTGATGATATCTGGAAAATACTGTGGCTATGGAAGATACAAGAGATTGGCCATGGCTGTATCTCTAAGAGGTACAGAGGGGACAAATAAAACAGGGAGACTTTCCCTCATGGTAGAACACCAGGTAGACATAGGTGACACAATCTACCAAGTATGGCATGACTCGGGAGCGGAGGGTGGTGGTGAGAAGATATAGTACAATTCCTTTAGATAAGCTAGCTGACTTTAGGGTGACTTCCCTAGACAATGGCCTGAAATCTGTCAACCTAAATATTTTGTGTACAACCCAGAAAGGTGGAAACTTTGGTTATTTAATTAGACACAAATATGAAGAAAAGAAAGGGAACAAGTCTTCAAAGGAGAAAAAGGCTTCTAGCCCTGCTCTCCTCTTTATAAAGAATAATCCAGACCATGTGAAAATGAGTCATCACAGCCTCGATGAGCTTGGTCTCTTAGATCTGAATGTGACAGTCTCATGACTAGATTTTCCAGCCCAGAGCTAATCCTTATCCAGGACCTTGAAGTGAAGGCATGAGTCAGAAATTTCACACAGACATTAATATCTGGGGCCTTGTGAAAATATCATTTGTTCTCGGCCCTCAGCAGTTTGCTCCAGAAAACCTACCTGGTGACTGCTCCGAGATTGCTAAACTTTTAGCTCTTTCGACATGATGCCCAGAACTCAGAGGGCTCTGTGTGCCAGCTCAAAACCCATTTTGCAAAGTTGGGTGCAATGGCACAAGCCTGCAGTACCAGCTACTCTGGAGGCTGAAGCAGGAGGATCCTTTGAGCCCAATCTGGGCAAAACTTTTTTTTTTCTTTTTTATTTGATTTGTTTTCTCTTTTTTCTTTGATTTGTTTTCTCTTTTTTTGGTGGTACTGGGGTTTGAACTCAGGGCCTACACTTTGAGCTACTCTACCAGCTTTTTTTCATGATGGGTTTTTTTGAGATAAGGACTCTTGAACTATTTCCCTGGGCTGGCCTAGAACCGCTACCCTCCTATCTCTGTGTCCTGAGTAGCTAGGATTATAGGCATGAGCCACTGACACCTGGCTTTTGATTTGTTTTCTTGAGACAGGGTATATCTATGTAGCTCAGGCTGGCCTCAAACTTGCATCCTCATGCCTCAGCTTCCTGAGTGCTGGGATTATAGGCAGGTACAACCATGCCAAGTGAGACTGTCTTAAAATAACAACAACAAAACACCACCAGCTTGTGCCTGAATGTTCTTTTTGTTGTTGTTGTTTGCTATTTTATTTATTTTTCTTCTCCTTTTATTTTATTGTTTTTACGTTTACTTACATGTATTTACATTGTTGTGTACATGTGTTCCCCCATTTCCCCCACCGAATGCTCTTTTTGACTGGAATCCTCTTATTGCACTGAGCTTGAATGGGTTGTGCTCATTATTCCAGCCAGTGTTTCTGCACTCAGGAATTTTATCAAGAACTGGGGACAAGAGTGAGCCAAAGAACAGGAGAATAACAATCAAGGTGACCATGAGGCCAAGGCTATCCAGAAGTACACAGAGTGAGGGACAGCATGGATATGACCACAGAGTGAACAAGGGGGCATGGGCAGTCTAGGCAAGGAACCAGCACGTGCACTTAAAATGTTTGTTCCGAATTAAACAGAGGTGACAAACCCGTTGTAAAGAGGGAATGTAAGAGCTACTCGCAGACATTTTGTGCAGGCTATGTTTCAGGCACTCTGTTAAATGCTTTAGAATGAATTATTGAATTTAATCATTATAGCAAACCCCCTGAGATCAGTTCTATGATGCCCATCTTACTTAGATAAGCAAAAGAGGCAGGAGAGTTTAGTGACAGGCTGGCAATCACAAAGTAAAAGCCAGAGCTGGAATTTGAACACAGACAACCAAACCGTAAAGCTCCACTATTAATCACTTGGTCTCTGTAAAATTGGAGATGCATTTAAGTGATTGGATTTTTTTTTTTAAATTCTTAACTGGCATAGTCTTTAAAAAAAGATCAGTGACTGTTTCTTAAAGTTACATCATACAGTTTTTTCAGTGTAAACTCTTAATTCACAGCATAATTAGGAATAACGAATTTGGCCACACTCGCTCAGGTAACTCTGTCCACACGGGATTCCTGAAAAACATAAGAATTCCTTCTGATTTTGAGACACCATGTAGCCAGATGTGTCTACAATTCACAGCCAAGAGGGCCTGCAATGCAGACCAGTGGTGTGTGTGTGGTGTGTGCAAATTGCTCCTAAAAGGATGAGATAGACTTTTAGGCAAGTAAAGTTCCACACTTGGCAGGTTGGGGGCTTGGCCTGAAAAACTCATCAATACCCAAAACATGGCTCCAAACCACAAAATTTTGCTGATAGTTTAACATAAATCCTTCTAGATTCAGTTGAAAACCATTTCCTCTTAGAAAATAACTGCTTATCATCTGCTATTAAGCTATGAGCTGCTTAATGTACATCTGGGGTTTCAGAAAAGCTAAGTCAAATGCAGCTACATCCTGTCATCTTTTCCCAAGCTGCAAGATTACTTCTGGACATCTCTGGAACCATCCCCTTGCATCTCCGTGACCTCCTTCTAGCCCAGAGGTGCAGTTCCTGACTCCTGGAGAACCCTAGCTCTTATAAAAATCTTTAAACTTCCCCAAATAGAACTAACCTTTATTTTGCTTCCCGCAGTTGTTGGGCGCCCTTTCTTGTCAGCTTGCAGGTTCTCAGGAAATAGAGACTGTATAAAAGGTCTGGAGAACGGGAAAGAGAATGGGTCAGCAATCTGTCCATGCCATGGGGGCTGAAAACCTGCTTCCGTAGAGAATAAGGTAGAATGCTGTCCAGAAGAACAGCCTTGACCACAGAAAGGCCATCTGACTCACAGGGCAAGCCAGCAGGATGTGCCTGGGGGAGAATGAACAGTAGACAAGAGATTCAAAGAGAAAGGACTTGAAGATAAAACATCTCAGCCTGAGCCTGAAAAGTAAGTTGAAAAACTCTGCCTTTGGGACCTCCTGGTGCTGACCACAGGCTGCGTTCTTACCCTGACTGTACAAAAGGAGGAGGGAAAGTAAACCTGCCCCTTATACACCTCAGCCCACTTCCTGTGCCTGGTTTGTATTGTGAATGGGGACACATAAGGAAAACAAAACAAAGCAGATACACCTGGGCTTAGGGAATGCATGCACTGCTTGCAATGGGCACGGTTGACAGTCACACTGGGTTAATAGTTGGGAGAGGGGCATCCTACACATTATAGATTACTCAGTAGCAACAGTAGACTACTTAGGAGATTCTAGTCACACACCATCCCCACCCACAGAAAACCTTGACAAACTGCTTTTGAATATGAGTGAGTCTATGTGGATCAGTCACAAATCACTAATGCTTTGCCTGTAGAATATGTTCCATTAATATTTTTTTTTTTGTGGGAGGTGGAGGATGGTACTGGGGTTTGAACTCAGGGCCTTGTGCTTGCTAGGCAGATATTCTACCACTTAAGCCATGGCGCCAGTCTCTGTTAACAGTAACAGAGCTGCTAGTGTTTACATGCCTGTCTCACCAGCACACAGGGCAAGGCCATGTTTTAGTATTTTGGTGCCCTTGGTGTCTGAGGAATATATGGTCTAGCATTCAGTAGGTACTTAATATTTGCTAACTGAGTGAATGAAGTGATCCAGGTGAGTTGGTAATCCAACACTATAACCAAATTCATTTCAACTAAAATGACTTCTTAGGTGTCTTGACTTTTCCAGGAAGTCTACCCAGCTGTCTACTTTTCACTTGACCAGCCATAATTATAGATTTCTGCAGCAGCTATGTTTATAAAACAGCATGCCATGTCTATATGACAGGACTTTATGTAGAACAACCAATGCTCTTGAACTTGGCAGGAATTTTAATAATTAGAAACAATTTCTGGAAGAAAGTTTTCACCTGGCTGCCATGAAACCCACAAACTAGGACTTGTGGCTAGCTTGACCTTTCCAGAGAAGAGAAAATTGATTTTGTGTATTTTGAATGAAAAAAAAAATTGACATCATAAAGGTGGTGATATGAATTCAGGCCCGGGTGGAGGGGGAAGGGAGTTGGGGGAGAGAATTAAATGGAACAGAACATTCTCACCAGAGCCTGAAAAAGAAACTGTTTGCTTTCATTACAATAAGGATTTTCTTAGAAAGTTATCAGGATTGTTGTTGATTACAAAAGTTAGCTTTTGTATTTTTCTTCAGTGCTGGGAATCCAATCCAGGGTTTCACACATGCTAAGCAGGCTCTCTACCACTGAGCTACAGTCCCAGCCCAAGAAGTTAATCTTGATGTTATGGCCATTTAAGTAGCAGAGACTGAAAGGGCATGTCTTACTTACGAGCAGCTCTGAAAATTCTAAAATCTGGAGGTCTACGAATACTGCAATTGCTTGGTATGTACATGCTACTCATGTAAATTACATCTTGTTCTCTGGGACTTTGGGAACCTTCTGTAAGGAAGAGTAGGAGGAAGGGACAGAGAGCTGGATCTGAGAGCTCCAGCAGCTTGCAGAGGGATGCCTCTACTGCCCCACCCCTGTAACTTAGGGTAATTAAAATGGATATTTGAGCTAGGCATGATGGCACACGCTGTAAACCCAGCACTCAGGTGGGAGAGGCAGAAAGATGAGTTTGAGGCTAGCCTAGGCTACACAGTGAGACCCTATCTCCAATACAAAAGTAAAAAAGGACCTCTGAGTCAATCCCTCTCTAGTTGTTACTTTCAAAGTTCTTTGAGTTTCCAAGTGCTTCAGGAACTCAGGTTAACTGGGTCTTGCTAAGCCATTAGCCATCTTTAAAAATGGAGTGAGAATGGAAGATTCTTTTGCTTTTGTTCCAAAGGCAACGTATTACAGAACCAGACTGTTCCACTCTTGATGATCAGAAATGCCTATCCCAATCCAAAATCAGTATGGTCACTTCTCCCTTATAAAAGTTTCGAGAATGGATGGTGCTAGGCACACAATGGCACATGCAATTGGAGACAGGAAGCCTTAGGGACACGAGGAAGAGTCTGAGATTGGAGAAAAGACAGTTATTTTAAGAAAGCAAATTATAATCCAGACTTGACAATTCAAAAGAGTAAAATGCCAAGCACTCAAATACCACAAATTTGTTTTAATATTGAAAATTTCATCAAACCTATTTTGGATGTCAGATAGGACAAATACCACTTACAGCTCGCTGGTCTGCATGAGTTCGATGAGATCTGTGAAGAGTACATCACGGTTTCTTTCACAAAAGCCATCCATGTCATAGGATACCTGGCCAAGAATGAAAAGAAATATAATTTTACCCTTTAAGTATTTCTTTGAACAAAACCCTTCAAGTGGATTTAGCTCTCCTCACCAAAACTCAAGTTTTCCAGATATGGCATGTGGGGTTTCATCTGCACTGTCACATAAAGATTGTGTTATCTGACTTAGCTGACAATGGCTTGCAAATGGTGATGATGATTTTGTGTCCCAGATGATCTGTGACCAGGACTCCTATTCTCAAGGTCACACGTCCTTTCTTCAATGGATCCATCTGAGCAATAAACTAAACTCTGTTCCTAAAATCTACCAAAGATGGAATAAAAGTGTATGCTCACTAATCCATTGCAATCGGCCATGTCACCTGAAGCTTTGTAATGTTTCCCATAAGTGGTATCAGAGTTGCCAGAAACTCATACTCAAGGACCCTGGTTAGTGAGAGACCAGATGGGATGAAAAATGAGACCAGTTGGATTTCCACAGGACCATGAAGTACCCAGGAGCCTTGACCTCAACTTACACCGCACCCCCACATAGCCTGGCACCTGCTAGCCATGGATTTTATTAGAACAAACACCAAAGTGAACTCTGGTCCTGATTTATGTTCCCAGTGGGCACCAGAAGGCAAGGAATGGAATTTTGTGATTGCATCAAAGGGCAAGACAAAAGTCCATTCCTTCAGCAGTTACTATATATACCAGGGTGATTGATGCTTTGAAAATAAGCAGTTGTGTAAACAATGTTTTGTTTCTCTTCCTTGAATTCCTCAAAGGTCCTATTTGCTGAATAAAAAACCCTACACGGATGTCATGTAACTCATGAGAAAATAGATGGCAGACACAAAGGCTCAAAACAGGGAGCCATTATCATGGCCCCTGCCCTGCTGAACTTCGTGCAGTCACCAGCCCTACCTTCCCAGCATAGTGGTGAATAATGAAGCCTTGGTTCCAGCTGTTGAAGTGCTCGTGGCTTCCAATCTGCATCTGGAGTTTCTGGAGCAGTGTCTGATCGGCTCCCTCACCCACGGCGTGCATGGTGGCACACACATCATCCAGGATGCTCATGATCCCAGGAGGGTTCTGATGGGACCAAGAAGGCAAGACACCAGTCACTGACTCTTCCAAAGCATAAATGCCAATCAGGCCCTTTCTTAAGCCAGGAAACTGCTCCCTAGATAAAGGTACCATCTTACAAGTCAGTCATTCCCTTCAGGCAAGAATGCAAGGCCCCAGTAGGCAGGTACCGCTCAGACCTAAAGATGAAGGAAAATCTACTTCCAAGATGCTGTTTCACTGCCTCAGGTTTTATTCAAAGTCACACAAAGATCATTACCTCTTTACTACTATTTGTACCAAGTTGACTTTAACAATCCAAAAGAAAAATAAGACATTCTTCTTTGATTCTCACTTCTGAACGTTCCCGTTCAGCCTGTCACCCAGGTACACCTTGCTTATTTAGTTACATACTTCCATATTCTACCAACATGGCTGACTTTTCATATAGCACTGATTTATAAACAGCCCTCATGGTTTATTCATCCTCCATCTTGTTACTTCATTGCTCTGATATGCTGCAGTTGATTCAATGACTGAGCTTCCATACATGTTTTTACTACTTCCAGTCTGGGGCATTAATGAAAAAAAAAAAAAAAGTCCTATAGAGACCTCTGTCTACATGGCTTTTGTTTACTTTTGAATCACTTCTTCGAGTGATTTAATATGGTTTAATCTATGAAGTTCAAATTGCAAAATTACAACAAACACCACAACAAAACTCTTTGATTTTAGTGTAGGATATTAACTACAGTCTTAGAAGACGGATGCTTGAACTTGAAGACAGGGCCCTTGTTGTGGCTCTGCATATGCTGTCACCAATGTGAGAGTTGTCTTTCAGAACTCAGTAACAAATTCTACTTGTGAACTGACATTTTACGCATGTCCACATTTACTACAATAACAAAACGGCTGTTCTAGTTTCACGCAAACACATTTACATGAAACTCATGTAATTGCTGACATCCTCTGTAAATTAGAGTTGTTAAGTTGCCTGTCTTAAAACAATGACCACAGGACTGGTGGAATGGCTCAAGTGGTAGAGCATCTCCTAGCAAGGCAAGGCCCTGAGTTCAAACCCCCAGTACCCAAACAATAAATATAAAATAAAAGTAAAAATAAAACAATGACACAGATCACAGAGAACAAAAACTCAGTTAATGTGTACAGTGAAGAGACACACAAAATCAATACTTACAACTTTGTTTTCTATGAGGTCACACACGATTTTGTTATTAAAATACTCAATGGGTGTCCACCTTATTCCTTCTTGAACGTATTCTTCCTGTATGACAGAAACCAGAACACACATCAGAAACACACATCTGAAAGAGAAAAACATGATGTCTTTCCACAAAGACTGGGAACTTTAATTTCTTATTTTCCAAGAGGTGATGGAAAGGGAACATTTCATAGGCTGGTGATTTTTATGTTTAGTTTGAACCATAAGACATTGCTACCATACTATTGTTTTTGACTAATGAAAATGACTATTTAATATGATTTAACCTCTTAAGTCCAGTTACAAAGAAAACAAAAAGCAAAAAATCTCTTTGACTTTACCATAAGACAGTAGTACAGACCAACACTTAGGTACTTAAGAACAGGTTCTAAATTCAAATTAGCTGCTCACTGAATGCCATGTACACTGCGCTGGTTTTCCTTTCTCCTCACTGGTCTTGCTTTGTTGGCCTCCTTTGCTAGATCTTTCTTCTTCCCAGACCTTTATATGTGATGGACAGTCACACAGTCTTCCAGAAATATGGTTTAGTCACCCATCCTTGCTAACTAACTACAATCAATCCCGTGGCTTTTTACCTGGTGTTAACCTGTAAGCTAGTGTTCTTTGAGCTCACTTTTCTAAACTTGCCCTTGACATTGAGTTCCAGACTCCTATGTGTCCTCCATATTGGAACCTCAATGTGGATATATAGTAGGCTTCTCATACTTACCATGAGCAGAGGAGGTTTTTGTTTTTCTTCTTTGTGGTCTTGGGGCTTGAACACCCTTGAGCCACTCCACCAGCCCTTTCATGTGAAGGGTTTTTTTGAGATAGGATCTCGCAAACTGCTTGCCCTGGCTGGCTTTGGACGTCAATCCTAATCCCTGACTCCTGAGTAACTAGGATTACAAGTGTGAGCCACTGGCAGCTGGCTCAGAGGAGTTTTAATGCCACAGTTCCCACTGACTCCAGTCAATGACTCTTCTAGTCCTACCTTTCAGTAAAGGGTCTCATCTGAGTTGGGAATCCTGCTTGATCACTCTTTCCTTCTGAACTTATTACTGATTATTTTGAGCAAGTCTTATTGGCTCCAGGAAACTTCAAAATATGATGAAGATTTTCTTTTTGCAGTGCTAGGGATCAAAGCTGTGACCTTGTGTATGCTAGGCTAAGTGCTCTATCCCTAGGTTACATGTTCCTCGCCCTCTCCCACTCCCAGCCTTTATAATACAGTAAACTGATTGCTCATCAGAAAAAAAAAAGTCTTCTTGGCTCCACTCTTCAAATATAATACTTGAATCTGACAATCCATCACCATGTCTCCATCTTTACTGCTATCATTGTCTGCCTCCCTACCTCCCTTCCTTCCTCCTCCTCCTCCAATCTCTCTCTCTCTCTCTATATATATATATACATATAGCCCAGACTGGCCTCGCACTGGAGATCTTCCTGCACCAGCTCCCAAATGGAATGACAGGCATCCACCGCCATGCCCAGCCTGAGCTTTTGCCATCTCTTGTCCTGTTTCCTGCAGTAGTACCTCACTGGTTTTTAAGCTTCTGCTCTGGTTTATTTTCTCCTGACTCTCTTCACTCTTTAAGTCTATAGTGCCAGATTGCTTTTCCCACAAGTTACAGCTCACAAGTGCAAATTAGATCATTTCAATTCTTTAATGGGTCCCCATCACACTTACCCCCTAAGTCTGAGCTGCGCCTTGTGACCCAGGCCCTGCCTTCGTCTCTGACCTCAGTCCCTACTGTGGTCTCCTTGACGTCTGCTCTGTAATGGTAATGGTGGAAAACTAGAATTCCAGGGCAGAGGTTCCTGTGGAACCTATGGCCCATTGGGGTCCCTTAAGCAGAGGCATGAGCACTTCTACAACTAAATACCCCCTAAAGAGCCTTTGATATGTGTAGAAGGTAGAATAGTGTTCCCAAAATTTCATGTTTTCCCCAAACCTCAGAATGTGAGGCTTGGAAATAAGTCTTTGTACATGCAGTTAGCTAAGAATATCATAATTAAATCATCCTGGACATAGAATAATCCATAAACTCAAAGACTTGTGTCTTACTGGGTTTCGTTTGTTTGTTTTCAGATGGGGTATTGCTATACAGCCCAGGCTAGCCGTGAATTCTCAATCCTCCTGTGTCTAGTCTTGCAAGTACTGGAATTACAGGTGGACACCATCATGCCTGACTGAGAAGGAGAAAGAGATTGACAGAGAGAGACCCAGAACATAAGGCAGAGACTGCAGTTATACCACCATAGTCAAAGAATGCCAGGACCCACAAGAGCTGGAAGAATCCTAGCATTCTAGGAAGGATCTCCCTTAGAGCCTCTGGAGGGAATGTGGTGCTTGATTTCAAACTCTGGGCTCTGGATATTAGAGGAGAAATGTCTGCTGTTTTAAGCCAGTTAGCATGCACTTTGCTATGATGGTCCCAGGAATCTAAAACAATATGGCAGCTGCACTGAACTTTTAAGTAGTTTTTTTTCTTTTTTTGGTTATACTAGGGTTTGAACTCAGGCCCTCACACTTGCTAGGCAGGTGCACTACCACTTGAGCCACGCTTCCCGCCTTGCATGGAACTTTTAGAAGAAACTGTAAGTAAGATATGTAAACTCAAATAAGAATTACAATGTCATCTTTGTTTAAAATACATATACTTTTGGGGAAGATTGAGAGTGATGAAATCTGAGAAAACCAAGCTTTTCCTTTGGAACACAGTATATGCACAGACCCTTTGGGTTGGAACTAGGGCTCTCAATTTCTACTTGGTCAATGAGTCAGAGTGGAGTAAAAACAGCCAGTCATTACAACTTCACAGGGCCATTTGCTGAAGGAGAAAGAAAAAGTAGCAGATGGTATTTGTATTTCACAGACTAAAACGCTACAATGGCATATGGTTTTTCTGTATGACTGTATTAGATACACTTCCTAATACAAGACTGAAACTTGAATATATTATCAAAAGAGAAATATATCCCTTAAAGCAAATTAGAAATAGAACAGATGAAGGAGGACGTGGGACTTCGTACCTGTTCCGCCTTTAATGTCAGCTCAATAAAAATCTGCTGTAGCTTCTCATTAACAAAATTGATGCAAAACTGCTCAAAGCCATTTTTCTGGAGGAAAAAAAAAGGATGCTTGCTTGTAATCACTTTGCAAAATTATTTAAAAGTCATTTCTTAGTTATTTAGCAAAATGTCTCAATGTGAAAAGCTTTAACAGAAATGTTGGATGCGTCAATAGCAAGAAGCATAGTTTATATTTAGGAGAAACTAATTTGGTAAAGGTACATGAAGAACTCACAAAGGCAAAAATGAGCCAGAGAGAAATTTTCTTTCCTTGCCCAGAGTTATTTCTCGCAGGCCAGATGAAATACGTCACCTTCTCCCCTAACCTCTGATTTTTGCACGCTGGTCTCACCTGGAATATTTCAAAGCCGTAGATGTCCAGGACCCCAATGTTGTACTCTTCGTGGTCCTTCTCCATGGCTTTATTGATGGACTGGGACAAAATGAACAGCAGACAATTAACTCCTTTCATTCATATTGAAAACAGGCATGGGGGTGGGGGACAGACTGTATAGCAAACCCTACAGCCCACTGGAGACATGTGAAGATAGATGACTTGAAGCTTTAAGAAGGTCTCAGTGTGGCCAAGTGTGGTGAATCATACCTATGAGCCTGGCTACTTGGGAGGTGGAGATCAGTCAGGTTGAGGTTTGAGGCCAGCCTGGACAAAATGTTAGCAAGATCCCATCTCAACCAATGAAACTGGTGTGATTGTGTGTGCCTGGCATCCAGCTGCGTGGAAGGTGTAAACAGGATGGTTGTGGTCCAGGCCAGCCTGGGAAAAATGTTTCTATTTGAAAAATAACTAAACCAAAAAGGGCTAGGGGTGTGGTTCAAGTGGTAGAGCACTTGCCTAGCAAGCTTGAGGCCTTGAGTTCAAATCCCAGTAAAGTCTTGGTGCAACATCAGGTATTTGCATCCAAAATACTGTAGTAGGGGGGAAAATATTTGCTTAATGATGAGTTAGCTTTTCTCAGGAACTCTTGAGAATTGGAAGAAAACGTCACCTTGGATGATCAAAGTAAAAACTTATTTCACGTGAAGAATATTAAAGTCTATAAATATCATTTTCATTGTCCCCTATTCAGCAATCATTTAACTATCAATATGCCAGAGATGCCAAGGATAAGACAGTCCCTGTTTCTGGGAGCTTATGGAGAGGGTGAGCTGCCCACAGATCATGGAAATTGCTTTTGAGCAGCTTACATGTACTTGATGTTGGCTGGAAACCCTCCACGTACTGCTGCACTGAATGGTCATTCAATTTTCGTAATGGCAGCAAAACCATTTTATCCCCATTTCCAGATAGATGCCTAATATTGCAGAGGGCAGGAAGCAGGGCTCTGGATGAAAGGTAAGCAGTATGGTATCCAAATCTGGGTTTTTGATCACTGACAGAGACATCAGGTAGTTCAATGGCCCAGACTTCATGACAACAGGGTAGGTGTGGATTACAGAAGGCAGACAAAGAAGTAACACCAGAGAAAAATTCCCAGAGCTGTGGATACCTACAATTTGAAGTACCAGAGATGTTTTCTGGGCAAAGAAAATGACATGTATTTTGGGAACTAATGAATAATGATATAGAACACCAGCCCAGTACCTGGCACAGGTAAATGTCAGTTCAAGTTAGTATAAATTTCATGGGTATTCATCCATTTACCTCAAAGAAATTGAGGGATGGATGGCAGGCAGGGAGGTGGGAAGTCCAGCACTGGACAGTTCCCTAACTGATACAAGAGCTGTGGGTTCTTGTTCTAGTTCTGCACCACTCTTGCTCTATGGCCTTGGGAAAATCACCAATAACTCATGCCTGAGACTCCCTTCTCAGTAAATGAGGGACCTGGACAAGCTAAACACACGACCCTGACCTTTTTCAGTCATCTTACCTTTCAAATTCGCAGAGCACACAGAATAGTCATCTTACCCTGTTCTGCCCAACTATACCCTACCCATACCTAAGCTTTGTAGGGATTAATGCTTGAATGCAGACAAAACTACTTGCATCCTATGCCCTTGCTATTGTCCCTTGACTAAGGTCTGTTTAGGGTTTCTCTTTACTTTGAATAATAAAATTGAGAGGAGCAGAATAGCTAGGAATCTAAATCCTCCTAGAAAAACCACATAAAAGCAGTGACCTTGGGTAAATTCTGTGCCTCACTTGATTTACCCATAAAATAGAGATAATGTCTAATCCACAATGTTGTTGAAGGAACTAAATGAGATATTTTCTTCTAAAATATTTATTATAGAATTAGTACCTGACGATATATAGGTGTTTGCTATTATTCTAACATTTAGAGGCTACATTGGTTAACATAGATTCATGGGGTCAGTTTACATTGCTAAAAGACTAAATTTCAGAATATATGTCATATATATCTCTGTGCACTATATGTATATGTGTATGCAAGTGTGTGTGTGTGTGTGTGTGTGTGTGTGTGTGTGTGGTGTGTGTGTGTATTTGATAATCCTCCCTTTGAAAGGTGGAGTCTAGGGCTGAGGGTGTGGTTCAAGTGACAGAGCACCTGCCTAGCAAGCAAGTCTCTGAGTTTAAAAAAAAAAAAAAGGGAAAAAAAGGTGGAGCTTATTCCTTCCTCCTAGTAAGACCTGTACTTGGTGACTTCCTTGAAATGGACTGAAGGTGGCAAAGTGACAATACTGAAGTCCAAGATTAGGACACAAAGAAACTTGAGGCTTATTGACCATACTTCCTCTCTCAGGTCACTCATGCTCAGGCAAACCAACTGTGAAACTGTGAGATTTTCAAGCTGTGCTAAAGAGAGGTCCATAGAGCAAAGACCTGGGACCTCCTGCCAACAGCTGAACAAAGTGAAGGATCCATCTCTCAATACCTCCTTGGCTCCCAGTCAAGTCTGAGTGCGTCTCACATCAGTATCACAGCTTCAGTCTTGACCTTGAGTCAGAACCACTGGGCAAGTCAGTCTCAAACACATGACCCACAGAAATGGTGAGATGGAGAAATGCTTATTGTTCCAAGCTGCCTTGTATGGGATTAATTTGTCACACAAATTGTTCCTTCCTATTATTGCTTATACTCTCTCTACAACAAAGTTAGAAATAAGGGCAAAATAGTTTCTGCTGGGTATTGAGGGGGGGGAGAGGGAGGGGGCGGAGTGGGTGGTAAGAGAGGGGGTGGGGGCAGGGGGGAGAAATGAACCAAGCCTTGTATGCACATATGAATAATAAAAGAAAAATGAAAAAAAAATGTATGACAAACACAATATTCTTTTTTTTTTTTTTTTTTTAGTACTGGGGTTTGAACTCAGGGCCCCATGTGAGCCACACCTCCTCAAATACATCCCCAAACCTGTAGGCTCAAAAATTAAGAAAGGTCCAGGAATATGGGATTCTTCTTCTCTTTTTTGGTTACTAGTCCTGGCTTTATTAAATATTTTGTGCAGAAAAAAGCTAGTACCATGTTAGGTTTAGGTAATGTGTCTAAAAGTAAAAGGAGGATTCAACAGCACCAGAGTAGAAAGTAAAATAGAGGGGAGGAATCAGGTAATGATGAGAAGAAATGAGCTAAAAACTTGAAAACAAACCCTTAGTAGTTTTACTCTTTGTAGCTAGAACCTGAAGTTTCACCCATGTCAGCTGATGTGGACTTACATCTACTAAGAAATCAAAGACACGGGCATGTAGGGCCTTGGCCAGTGCATCTCTGGTGTAACAGGCCTGCTCCACATTGAGGGTCACGTGGATGGACTCTGATTTGCCTCCCCACTTGCTGTCCATCTGCCGGCTCGTTAGCTTCTCTTTCAACCGGTCCTGGTTTATCCCCAGCAGATATGCAGGAAAAGCCAAAACTGTGGAACATAAAATATGATTGTCTTTCAGACTTATAACCATTTATCTCCAAAGATGTGGAGGCATTTTGTGTTTGTGTGTGTGTGTGTGTGTGTGTGTGTGTGTGTGTGTGTGTGTGTGTAGACACAAGGCAGCATGGTTAACCCACCAGGACTTCTTCTCTAGTGAAGGCTACTTATCAGCAATCTCACTATCACCCACCTACTTTGTTTTTCCCAGTTTTTTTTTTTTTAATTACATCAGTCAATTCCTTTGACTACCGTGACTTCCAATCACACAAGAAGGATGGTAGACTAATCTCTCCTACTGAGATCACAATGAAATAAATACCTAAAATGGACATTTCTCTAAGCTTGCAGCAAGACATCCTGGAAGGAACTCAATCAAGAAACATTTCTTTGGCTCCAAATTTGTTTTCTTCCTTTGGGTACAATATTTTCACAGCATTAATGCCAGAGAACCTGGCACCTGTTATCATATAATAGTAATTATAACCAATCACCTATCTACTGATTGCTCATAATGAGTAAGACTACCAAAAGAGTGGAAAGGTTACACGATGTTTAATAAATCCTGAAGACAATCTAGATCAGACAAAGAGTTTACCAAATAAAGAACCTTTCTAAAAGGTGAATGCCTGCCACAGACAAAAGTTCTGGAGGAATTTAGAACAGGAAGTTATTACTACATGCTGAGACAGTCAAAGAAGTCAAAGAAGGTGTGGTATTTGGACTGGACCTGAAAGGAGGGACAGGATTTGTACAGTGTAGATGGGGGATGGAATGTGCGAAGAGGAGGCAGGGATGTCAGAGACAGGGTAGGGCTATGTTTACATTGTATAAACCAGCATTGATGATGGCTAACGTTAAGGTGAGATTAGAAGGCCACAAGAGATTCCAGTTCTGGGATTCCTTGAATGGCAGGGGACATCTGGGCAGTAGGCAAACGTGAGTCAAGATGGCTTTTAAAGAGATAAATTACAAGAAGATGGCAGATGCAGTGGAAAGGAGAGGACAGTGTTATTCAGACCACAGCACACTCATGCCATTCTAACAACACGTAGTAGGATAGCTTTTGGTCTTTCAATAGAAAAACCAAGATTTTTGTGGCTCAGCAACTTGTTTCAGGCAATGATACCAAGAGGAGAGCGACTGATATAGAAGGGATTTTCTTGATTTCTGGTCAAAATTCTCTACAATGAATAAATGACACTATTCTCAGGCTGAAAGAATGCTCTCATTTTTCCAGTATGAATAGAAGGCTTTTATGGATGTAAATGAAAATTGTGAAATTGGATATGTGTCTTCTTTCTGCATAAAGCTTTACTAAAATTCTTTCATAAAAGGATTGTGCTAAAGTGCACTGAGCATCGTGGTGCACACCTGAAATCTCAGCACTTGGGAGGTTGAGGCAGGAGGATTTCAAGGATTTCAAGTTCAAGGCCTGGCTGGGTTATGTAATGAGATTCTGGTGTTTTTCTTTTTAAACCTTATGATAATGCTGAAAAATCACAAGCCGTGGGCTGCTGGAGTGATTCAAGAGGTAGAGTGCCTGACTAGCAAGTGTGAAGCCCAGAGTTCAAACTCCAGGACTGCCAAAGGGGGGAAAAAAACCCCAAAACCAAAAAACCACAGCCTCTCAATAAGGGATGATGTGTTTGAATTGCACAGATGGTGTTAGGATGCAATGGGTTGACATTTCTTAGCATTTAATTTCCAAAAAACTCAAGCCAGTGAACACATTTTGAAAAAGTATAATACCAGAACAAGGTGTTTATCATCTACGAGTGTTTCACAAAAATGCTTTGACCAATGGAAAGGCTTCCCTTTACAGTGACATGTGACCCACACCCAGGGTGCTGATTTGACAGTGACCATTTCCTTTAGATTAGTTTTAATGCTAATGCATGTCTAGAATCCTTAACATGTATCTTCCACTCACCTAAAACTTCCTTTATACAGAGTAAGGACAGATGATATCCACAGATCAGACCGATAGGGATATTGTGAGAATCAAGACACATTTACCAAAGTCCCCAATATGTAAGAGGCCTCACTGCCAGTGTGGTTATCACCACCAACAGCAGGAGGGCATATCTCATAGACATCAACAGTTTATAGCAGCCAGGCACAATGGCACTTACTTATAATCCAGATATGCAGGAGGCAGAGGCAAGAGGATTGAAAGTCTAAGACCAGCCTAGGCTACACAATGACAGCCCCATTTCAAAAAGAAAAAAAAAAAAAAGCTGATAGTAGATCACAAGGGCCCCTATCATTGTTCATGGGAACCACACAGTAATACTTTTATAAAATGGTAGTCAGCCCCATTTGTTTGTTTTGTGAACACGAGATTCTCCCACACCCTAACTACACCAAAAGTGGGGCACAGTTGAAATAAACTGTTTATGTCATTATCTTTATGACCTTAGCTAAAAAAATAAAATAAAACATGAGAACCCTTGAGACAAAACAGACAGAAGGGACTAGCAGAGACAAGGACGGTACTTCATCTCACTCCTCTCCTGTAGAAGAGGGCATAACCAAAGGCCTGCAGGTCCCCCCAGAAACAAGGCATGGGATTCGGCCAAGAATCAGAGCCACAGCTTAGGGAAACAGCTAGGTAGATGAGAGAGAAAACAGAGAACTGGCTTGGAAAAAAATCCATGCCGTGTTTTTCAAGCGCAAGTTTTATGGCCTCATATTGTCTTCAGTGATTGCCTTGGTGTTGAAGTTATAGGGCTGCTTATATTGACTTCCTTCAGGATGTGAATTTTCCATGAGGGTATGAACGTGGCCGTGGCCGTGGCCATGGCTGGAGGAGAGCATCCTCAAGGAAGCGTGGAGGCTGGGGGAAGCAGAGGGAAGAAGTAATGACTAATTTAAAAATATTGGTGTCATCTTGGCAGAGTCATAAAATAAGAAGAACCTGTTAAAAAGTAATATTGAAGAGTAATGAAGATAGATTTCTAGAACTGCATTAAAGTGTGAAGCAAAGCTGGATTTCATTTTTCCAATTAAATGTGAAGTGTAGAGAAGAGAAAAAACTCAAAAAAGAGGGAGCAGTACAAAGTTCCATTTTTAACAAATTTAAAAGAAGTGGCAGCTTGGGGGTATTGCTCAAAAGGTAGAGCACCTGCATAGCAAGCTCAAACCCTGGTACTGACAAAAGAAGAAAAAGTGAAAAGAAGTGGTAAGGTGAATATGCCTTATTTGGTGTGGGAGGCCTTGCTTCCTAGCTCATTAAGCATGAGGGAGAGAATGAGCCCTGTGTTATGTACTTTGACTGCTCAGTGCTGTTAAAGTAGTGTTTTATTCCTTAGGCATTACTACTTTACTGTATTGATGTTGACAGGCACAGAAATGTGAAAATTGAGGTTTGAATTGGCTTCTCAGAGGCATAAGGTTCAACTAAGGAAATTCTGCACCTTCCTGAGGGTAAGGTCAAGTAAAGGACTAGTTTACTTTAGTGGGCCAGTTATAATATGATTTTTTTACCATTTTATATAGTATCTAGAGACAGCTGCTATCTTGAATTATAAAAACATAGATACCAGTTCCCTCTATAAATTTATGTCATCGATATACTCAAATATGTGAAAGAGACACCACGTTCATGTTCAAGGTTATTCATTCTTACAGTGGTCATTGAGAAGATAAGAAGCATAAAATCAGGTGTCATCCTAGTGCTAGGCAACAGATATGGGTTCAATAAATCAAAGTGTAGCTAGGCAGTAGAGTGTATGCTGCTAAACAAAGGATGACACTCCTTTGAACTGATATAGAATAACCTCCAAGATACGTTATATGAAAAAGCAACAGTAGAACATTGTATACATTCCCATTATAACACAAAATTAGGGGAAAAGAATGGACATGTGTGGTTGCTCTGGACCACATATCTCTGAGACCTGGGTTGCCCTCTTGGAAGGGGAACAAGTTGACCAAAAAGAGCTGCATAGAACAACTTTCAATATATATCCACTTGACTGTATTAATGAGACCTAATGAACAAAATCCAGAATTGATTGAAGAAAATTACTGGGAGGGAGTATTCCTTTGTTAGACCTACTTGGCTTTACTCAGCATTCTTGATCTCCACGGCTCCACCACCCCTTGTTAGGGAATTTCATGAGCAGTTGCCAATCTCAGGCCTTATCCACTTGGCACAGGAGGCTTACTAACTCCAGACACCACTGAGCAGTGAAACAGACCTTGGCTCAAGCATCCGGGCCATGCTCACTGGTTCAGGGTCATGACTGTTCTCAAGCTTAAAGAGGCAGTAAAGGATTTTAGTATCCAGAGGGCAAGAGAAACCCAGTCTCTTTCCATAGACACCAAACCAAAACTGTCAATGTGAACAAGCTAAGTGTTAATGGTCCTACTGGGGACACATGTGTATTTGTTAAATGTCAAGGACAAAGTCCATAAAGTCTACATAGTTATTAGTATGAATATTAGAACATGGTTCTCAGTTTTATGGATACCATGTATTTTTTCTTGTTTTCTATCCCCTTCCTTGGTAAACATAATTCATCATTATCAGATAGACATCAGAAATTAGCAGAACTTCCCTCTTTTATGAGAAAAAAAAACTAAAACATAAAAAAAGGATCCTTATTTGGAATGGAAATATCCCACTGCACTGTCAGCAATGAGTGGGATACTATTTATTACTAAGCATCTAAATTTATCATCCTTGAAGAATGCTGAGAAAGGAAGAAATGCCTTCCTGGGTGGGTAAGGGTGTGTGGGTTCTGAGAACAGCCTGGAAAGCTGTCGATGTCTGAGAGGTTGAAGTCACCGACCATGGTATTCATAGCAGGTCACAGGCACATGTAACTAGTGACATTTCTCTGCAGGAAGGACCTGGATTTCTTCTTAAAGACAATCTGATTACTACAAATATGATCATTAAAGGTCATCACAAGAAATGTCAACACAATAGTCAAAGCCCATTTCTCTCTGTGTTCACAAAGCTAATCTAACCAACCCATGGAACAAACTGTAAACCTGTGAGCTTTCTACATTTACATATATTCTATCATTGCAAGTGACCAAAAAGGCCAGTTACAGAAAAGCTTTTCATTAACTGATTCATCTTTTGAGCTAGTAGGCCACTACTGTAATCTTTATTAAAGACATCACTTTAGCATTAAACCCAGATGTGAAATTCTACCAGATTTCCCTAAGGTTAGTAACAAGCTGAAATGATTTCAACTCAAGAGGTAGAGAGCTTGCCTAGCAAAGCATGCGGCCCTGAGTTCAAATCCTAGCACTGCCACACACACAAAAAGATTCGTTAATTATCTACAGTGTGGGACACGGAGACACTGGTGATGAGGCGAGGAGAAGGGCAGGGCAGTTGCATAGAACAGGTCTTTCCTAAGGCCTCTCCTAAGGCCTTTGTGTTTTTGCCACAGTGGGACACACAGACTTCTCATCTCTTCCCAACACACTCAATACACATGAGCTCCAAGCCAAGCAAAGGGGCGTGTTGTTCTGATTGGAGCTGACTACCCCTAGTCCCCTCACGCAACAGCCACGTGCCAGAGCTACCCACACTCTTCACTCTCCACGGCGGCGTAATTGCCCACTTCTTTGAAGCTGATGTTTCCCATGTGGAGAATTCCCGCTACGATCTGTAACACCAGCGTCTGCTCTTCTGCAAAGATCCCGATCACATTCATGGCATGCTGGGAAGAGAAAAGAGAAATTATCCAGACGAGCTGTAATAAAGAAGCCAAAGAAGACATTGAGTTGCAGAGGTACAGCAACTGGGCTTAGCCTGGGATGGCAATGGGAAGTGTCTGTCAATATCATCACTGACCAATGCACTCACACAGGTCCTTATAAGTCCTGCTGTCTTTAAACACAGAAAGGCCACCCTCTAGGAAGAAGGTCAGGACAGCTGCAGGAGGAAAGACATTCATGGGAGTGGCAGCCAGGCACGGGTCTCCATGCCTGTCCTTATCCCATGGTGTCCGTCTTTGTCCCATGGTGTGCTCTCTAATTTTATCCCTCTACTGTTGCCATGTTGCACACTTTCCACTCCATGTAGACTTCAGAAATCTATTCCTTCACTAGTGGGAAGAGGAACAGAATTACTTGCAAAAGAATCTTGATTGAAAATGTGAAGAAAATCAAAGCATCTTTAAAAAGCTTAGTTTCTGAGGCCATTAAACTAAGTAAAAACAGCTGGAATGTCTGAGCGTTGGATCTCAGTATATTGAGAATGATATTGTAGGACCAGCGTGTAGGCCCCCTGACGCACAATTTTTCTCCTTGCTTCTTGAAAGCCACATGGTTTTGGGACCCAGGACCCAGTCTATCTGAACATTCTGCCCCTTTCCAGATCAAACATCAGCTTCCCTTGAACTTAACCTTCACTGCTTACTCAGGGTTTTCCCCTCAGCACTGGATCTGTACAGAAAGACAGGCCTGTACTTCCAGGACAGTTAAGGCTGACTGGTGACTGGCCTGCCTCCAAAAAGTTCTAGATTGACTCATTTATTGTCATTCCCATCTGATGCAAAACCTTCAGTAATCTAACTATTTTCACAGCTTGTACTGTGACACACGAACTATGTGAGCAACTTGGAGCTGAAGGGTCCTCCTTGGACCTGGAAATACAGAGGTGAAGAAAAAGTCCTCGAAAACAGAAGAGATGAAGAGAGTGGCACCTGATCAAGACCATGAGTTCTTTGCCTTTCTAAGGAAAGCTCACTAACTGTGGAGGCTGTTCAGCAAACGAGCCTGATAAACAGTTGCCGTGTTGCTTTTGCCTGTTTATCAGAGCTCCTGCGGAGAGATAATGATGAATTCCCTTTTCTACCCATGTCCAGTCATTAAGTGACCCTTGAGCAACTGGGCACAAGGCCATTAAAGATGCTGAAAGACAAGTTTTAAGATAAGGAATGCATCCAGTGGCCCAGAGGACATGTACCTTGATAACCTTCCCGAGCTTTCTGCCACATGTGATGACCAGGTTGGAGCACAGATCCTGCCTGGTCCTGTGTGGGCACTTACCAGGGTTTCCTGAAACTCCCGCTTGTCGTCAATGTCATCGACCTTATATGACCCAGAGAGGCTCAAGTAGTAATAATAGTCCATGCTGGTGATGCCCAAGGTGTGCTTCTGCTCTGCAGAGGCGCCCTCGATGAGCTGCAGCAAGAGAACGCAGGATGTATCAGGATGTTGACATCACAGCGTCCACAGTCACCTCGCAGTGCTTGCTACCACCCTCCCTGAGCCCAGGTAGGGAGGACTTTCTACCACCATGTTCGAAAATGATGGATGATGGATGGTCCTAGTCTCTAAAAGATGCAGGAGCATGTGAACACCTGCTCTACTTGTCACAACCCTAAATCATCTCTACATTGTATTTTTTGTGTGTGTGTGACAGTACTGGGATTTGAATTAAGGGCCTTGTGCTTGCTGGGCAGACGCTCTACCACTTGAGCCACACTCCCAACCTTTTCTTTTTGTTGCTTATTTTTGAGATAGGGTCTCTCGATCCTATTTACCCAGGCTAGCTTCGAACCATGATCCTCCTGATCTCTGCCTCCTGAGTAGCTAGGATTATAGGTGTGAGCCACCATCGCCCAGCCACTTATGACTTCTTAAAGTGGAGCTGGCTGCTCCAGGCTTCCCACACAGGGTGCATATTTGGACAGTGCCATAGGTCCCATTCTCTAGTATTCTGAAACCTCCTGACACACTGGCTGTCCCTTGACTTTTTCTTCCAGCTCTGATGTCTATCTTAAGCTCAGGCAAGACTTTCTTAAAGGGCTCCAACATTTAACAACCAACTCTTGAGAGAGAGAGAAAAAAAAATTAATTTGTAGTGTTTGCCAGTCTTCATGATATAAATCCTCCCCTCAGGAGTTACTGCAAAGAAATTTCACAGGAAGAAGAGGTAAGAAAAGACACAGCAGCCCATGTAAGCCACCTCCAGCATACCATGGCACTAACCCAAACAATTTAGAAACAGAGAGGCAGCTCCTGTCCATGCTTGTCCATCTGTGTCAAGTTCCTGGTGCCATCTTGGTCCCCCTGCCCCCAATAGGTGACCTCATCTGCATCACTGAGAAGTTCTAGCTCATCCTATGAAAAAAGGCTCTCTGTTTTCTTCCTGTCAACTGAAAATCTTTTTGCGCCACTCCTTCCTTTTTTGTCTTTCGTTTTAAGAACGTTCCTTCCTCCTTTCAGTCTTCTCCCCACTCACATCACATAGTCCCTCTCACTTGCATCGTCAAACTTCCCTCTCTCCACCTCTTCTGTTGACAAGCAGTTTGCTCTTTGCCTTGGCTAAAAGCTTTTCCTTGACTTTGAACTTTATCAAGCCAAAGAATCTACCTCCTCCCCATGGCTGAACCACCTGCATTCTGGCTTCTCCCCTCATGGCTCTGGCAAAATTCCTCTCCTGGCTACTTTCCAGTGATTAAATCCAGCAGCCTGTTCTTGGTCCTAGACCCCTGACCCAGCTCCCCTCCTCCCCTACCAGAAGCTCAGGGCATTCGATCCTGTGACTCATCCCCTTAGGCTCCCCTGGCTGTGGGGACACTGTGGGATCCTGGTTTTCCTCTTCTGACTGCTTCATTGGGTGGCATTGGTTCCCCCATGCTTTTCCATCCCATGCATGGACAGTCGCCAGGCCCTGTATGGGAATTATTTTTCTCTCCACACTCAGATCCATGGAATCTTGTCTGTTTGACAGTTTCCGCCATTACTTTGATGTCAGAATCTTGAACTCCTGGACCCATCATCTCTCAGCATCCACTCTGGTGGATGCTATGGGCAGAGGACTCTAGGAAGGGGGTGAGGTTTGTATTTATTGAAAAGGGTCCTGGTATCCATTACACGCTTCTATCTGGTACTCAATAAATAATATTCTGCTGTGTGTGACACAATTTCTTTTCATTTGTCTGGATGTATTGCTTTGGTTAATACAATTCTAAGCATTACCAAGCTCCTAGAAGCTCTTGGCCACCTATGTACTTTGTCAAGGAACAGATACTAAGTAAAAGAATTATTTGCCATCACTGAAGATGTCTGTGTAATTGAGAAGATTGGCTGTGTGCCAGTTCTACTTTAACTTCCTTCTAATCCAGTGATCATCCAACCAAAAAAACAAGACCAAAAAAGTTACCAGGTGTTTCTTCAAGGAAATCTAATATGGCTGCCTAAACATGAAAAAATTGGAATATGGCCTCACTATTTTTACATACTTAAAAACATTTTTCATTTTAGTTTATTTTTTGCAGTACTGGTGATTGAACCCAGGGCCTTGGGCATGCTAGACAAGCACTCTTACCACTTGAGCCATGGCCCCAGCTCTAAAAACATTTTTTTTAAATAGCTGAATTGTATGACTGCTGAAGCTCAGAGTAAGACTTTTAAGCTCGTGCACACTGCTTTGGCTCCAACCCCTCCCTGTCTTCCGAGGGTCTGAATGGGGATGTGCTGAGCTGACACTAAAATCAAAGCCTACCTCAGCTCTTCCTACAGCTCGCCTCTGGACACTTCTGCCTGAAACCTGCCTGAGGCCTGTTCACCCAGTGGTTTTCTTCTTCTACCTCCTGGGCTTTTGTTCTGGTGACCGGACATCCCTGTGATGTGTTCTCTCCACTCTGCGCCCTGAGCCCTCCCTCATTGACATCTCCCCTTACCACTCCAGCCAAATCTCCCCACAGGAATTCCTATTTGGCAAAGAATCAAACAGTCCTGCTTTTATTTGAAGATTATTTAACTTTCGAGAATTTGTCTTGTCACTCCCATTAGCACTTACTTGCCTCAAGGATAGAGACTTTTTCACAATCCTTCTGCACACGGACTTGCACACACTCTAGAAATGCAACTTTTGTGCTTAGAAGACTAGACTGTGTAAGCTCCAGGGTGATAGAAAAAAAAGTTTTTTTCTTCTAATACAGAGAAAAATTAGGAAGTGGATAAGAAAAAATATCAAGTAAAACCTGGTAAAATATGTGAAAACTCCGTTCTCCAGGGTTCCTCATCACCACTCTTGACTTCTCCAGAAGGAAGTTGGAGATCTTTCCACCATCTGGTTCCCCACCTGGACTGAACTGGATTTCAAAGTATTTTCCCTGCAAGAAAGTTGGGATTTCCTTTAGTGGACTGGTAAACAAAACCATAATGCTGCAAAGAGGACACAGGATATAATTCAAGGAAATTCGTTAATGAAAGACGAGTTCTGAATTATTCCTCATTCTAGTCTAGACTTCCTCATTTTTTCATATCAAACAATAACCCAAGCTTTTGTCCAATCACACAATTCGGTATTCAGAGAGAATCAATGGAATCAACCAGACTAAATAAGGACCTTCTACATTTCTTGTTGCCTTTCTTCCTGTCTCAGCTTGGCTACTCAACCGGAAGGCATAAAGAATGGGTTAGAAAAATCACATGGTCCCCTGAATCTAATAACAGCGAACTCTGCCAGCCTCCTTCAGAAGACGTTTTCCCTCCGGCAGACTTCATTTCAAGACCCTGAGAAAAAGCACTCAGTCCCTTTTACCTCTGGAGCATCTAAGATGAAAACTATTGTAATTAAAATTCTTTCCAGCTACTTGTGGGTTTGGAGACTTTTGTTTCTGTTGTTATTAATACTCCCCTTTAAATTACTAATAGGGAACAAAGGAATTAATTGCAAAAGACATCTAAATCGTTGATATTTTTCTCAGTAGAACTTAGTTTCTCTCTAGGTCACAGAAACTTAAGTACCATCAGGGCCAGGAGGGTAAATGCAAGCGATGGAAAATTGCTCGGGGTTTGTGAGGCCTGTGGCCAAAGTGGAGGGTGTGGCCAGTGCCCTGCATTCACATTTGATATTATAAAAAATTGAGTGCTGACTAACTGAATTCAGGGCTGAATTCAGCTGAACCTTTGTCGATGACTAGAATCATAAACTTACGAAGGGCAAGCAGAGTGCGTTGCATTTTTTCCAGTTGACTTCTGTACCTGTATGTGCTGTGTTCTACTTGGTACTTGTTAACTACAAAAGAAGGCCACCCTCTAATTTTGTCTTCATCTGATGCCTGCCACTCCCCTCCTTTTCTCCAACAAACTTCCAGACAGAACCACCAAGGCCACCAAGGCCACCAAGGCCACCAAGGCCTGCTACCCTGAAGGATAACAGTTCCTGAAAAAAGCTTGCTGTACTTCTGAAGGTGACCACATCTCACCATCTTATTCTTTTGACTTGTTCTGTAAGGAACAATTCAGGGTCTGTCCTCTTGCTCCCTGTCACCTGGGGGAAATGAAATGTGGAAGGGCACGTGTAATAAATGACAGTCTTGTGAGCAAGTGCTTCTCAACTGTGGCTTCAGGTTAAAACACTGAGGAGCCCTTTAAGAAAGGCTGGTGCCTGGTACCACCCACACCAAGTCACTCAGTCTCTAGAGACCAGTGCCCAGACCTGTGTAGTCTGAGGCCTGGGGGATTTTTACACACAGCCTTGTTAAGGCCACTGTTCTGATGTCATACAGTGCTTACACACAGTTCCAAATTGTCACCTAATAAGAGGTCAAAACACTTAGCATTGCTGCTTGACAGCCTAGAGGAAAGACAGGGAATTTTATAAAGGGGACAGGAAACTGCATTTTGATAACTAAATGGAAAGAAGTTTCAGTTCTTGGTAATCTTGTATTTCTTAAGTTGGCTACTGGATATGCAGTGTTCACTACATATTTAAATACTGCTTAAACTACTTCATAGCTTTCTTTAAAACTTGAAAAGACTTATAAATTTTTAAATTCTATACATTTTTGTGATTAAGGTCACATATCCCTCCCCTCATTTTTTTTGTGGTAGTAGGATTTGAACTCAGGGCCTTGCACTTGCTAGGCAGGCACCTCTACCACTTGAGCCACATTCTCAGCCCTTTTTTGCTTTAGTTATTTTCCAGACCAGGCTCAGACAGTGATCCTGCTACTTAGGCCTCCCTCCCCTCGTGACTAGGATTACTGGTGTGTGCCACCATGCCCAGCTCTACATATCCATCTTTTAATAAAAAATCTGTAAAGACGTATCCATTTGTAAAGTGGACTGATCCACTATTCCACCTGATGCCCTTCTACATCCTCCTACTAAACAACCAGACTTTGATTTGATAGTACTATATCTGTCAAACTTTGATTTGCATAAACCTTAATTACACTTTACATAGCATGAACATTTTTAAAACAAAAATGGGGCTACATTGGAAATATTGTTTTATAGTCTAGTTTTTCTAAAATTTAATAATATTACATATATCATTTAAAATAGTAGTTATTTAATAGAAAATTTTGATAGTTTATCCTAGAAGCACCACTGGGGCAAAGATAATGAACACTTAAAACTTTAATACAAATATTTGGGGCTGAGGGTGTTACTCAGTGGGTGAACACATGTTTATTGTGCTTGAAGGCCCGGGTTCAAACCCCAGACCCCCACTCCCCCACCTTGGCCAAACTGCTCTCCTGGGAGAATGTGTCTGTCTTCAATCAATAGGGTCTTTCCCCCATTATTTTCGGTCTCCTTAATGTTTGTTCATCTAAGAGACAGAAAATGATACAGAGTTCGAAATGTCATTTCTTTCATTTTGTATGCTTTGGTGCCACAGGGTATGGGGAAGGGGAAGAGAGAAGGAAGATGAATGTGTGTGTTAGAACCTGCCTGTCTACACTTTTGCCCATCTTTCTCTCAGGGTTGTATAAAATTTTGTAATCAGATAAATAATTAATGTTGCGTTTTTGTTATTTATAAAAATCGACTGAGGCATCCTCCAAGGATAAAGGACAATTTATATTAGAAAAAAAAATCAAGGAAAGTAATGACTTAATTATTTTTTTCTGCTCTCTAAGGATGGGTGGCCTGGGTGGTTAGAGGGTTAAATCTGAGCTAGTCTATTTTTTTTCTTTTTTTGCTGCACTGGGGCTTGAACTCAGGGCCTACACCTTGAGCCACTCCACCAGCCCTTTTTTGTTAAGGGTTTTTCGAGATGGGGTCTCTCCAGGAACTATTTGCCCAGGCTGGCTTCGAACTGCAATCCTCCTGATCTCTGCCTCCTGAGTAGTGAGGATTACAGGAGTGAGCCACTGGTGCCTGGCAAATTTATTTTTATAAAGTCTATTTTTATAAGGCGGATTTAGAATGATAGTTAGAAAATAAAGGTCAAGTGGAAAATGTGTTCACTTCTTCATTTTTATTTCATCACCTAGAAACTTCAAGATAAAACATTGAGCCAGAAAAAATGATAGGAAACAAGAGCACTTGAGAGAAGAGACTGAAGAGCACTGGGCAACAAGGAATGTAACGGTGAACCTGACAGGTATCACTCTTCAGGGAACGCGACAATGACTTCATGAGAACATAGTGAGACTTCTTTTAGAAACAGAAACTTCCTTTCAAAATAAAAGCTGAGAAAGTAATGTTTCTTTCTCTGAAATTCCCTTATTTATTTTTCTTTTTTTATAGCATACATTAAATATACAGAGGTGTTTCACTGTGACATTTCCATACCTGCATATGATGTGCTTTGATTAAATTCACCCCCTGTTACTCTTTCTTATCCTCCCTCCTCCCTGCACTGTTTATTTTTAAATGGCCAGTATCAACCTCACAGATGGCTGCCTGCAGGTTTTAGTGCCAGACACGATCTGTGGTTGAAATAAGATGCTAAATCTATATAAGTCAAGCTGCTGGGTAAGCATTTATTTCTTTGTAATGTGGATTTTTGTCAAGGGATTATAGTCACATCATCCTTGCCAGCCTTCCTATATAACTCCTCAGAAGACCCAGACAGAAAGATGTCATGGGTTTCATAACCTTGGGTGTGTGAGCCAGTTAGAAGGCACTCTGTGAGGCCAGTGACTTTGGATATTGTCATATTGTGACTGTACATACAGCAAATGCACACAGCTGGGAGGCAGGGTAGACAGTTGGCTCACTCTGAAGGTCAGAGGGGAGGAAGGTCCTTCCCAGGTTCCCCATGACTCCAAGTGTCTCTCTCTTTGGTGTCCACAAACCAAGCTCCGAGCAGCAATCTATCTCTGTGATTCTAGTCTATTCTGCTCTCTTTCTCTGTAGGGAAAGATCTCTCCAGGGAGCAGGCCAAGTTCCCGGCACCAAAGTTGTCATTTTCGTCAATTCTTCTTTTCCTTAGTAAGCGACTCAAGGGGAGAACGGATTTTGAAATGACCTCGTTTGCATCCCTACAGCTCAAAAAACACTTAAGTCAAAAGGTAAACCAAGGACCGACAGCAGGCCGCTTTAGAAAACAGGTTAGATTGAAAAGCTGGCCTCTGATGATGCATAAACTGCTCTCATTTCCCATGGGACACAGGACTTAACTCAAGAATATCACCATCATCCATCAAGTGACTTTCCTCTGAGACAGGGAAGACTTACAAATCGGCTGGAGTTGTTATTTCGGACGGTCTTGGCATTTCCAAAGGCCTCCAGCAGTGGGTTGGACTGCAGGATGATGTCCTTCACGTGCTGTCACAGCAAACAGACAGACTGGACGTTAGGAAGGTGCAGGCCCCTGTCATATATCCAATGGAAGCCCAACTTCCCCTAAGGTCTTAGTTTTTGAATGCCACAGAGTGAAATCCCCAAGTCCATCTGTGCTTTGGGCTTTCTAGAGAATTTATCTTTCATAGTGACAGACAATCCTGTTTGTGTGACTGGGCTCCCCAAATTCCTTGACCTGACACAGGATCCTGGAGCCAGGGTGCACCAAATCAGAATCCGAATCTACAGTGCTTCCGGGCTGGCTTTCCATTCTACTTGCTGCAGCACTTTCAGTTACAACAGAAAGGAAAGTGAAGCACAAATGGGTGTCTCCTTCTGCCTCTTTTTGGGGTGGAAATGAGGGTTGAACTCAAGGACTTGCACTTGCTAGAGACTCAAGTGCTCTACCACTTGAGCCACACCTCCATCCCTTTCTGCTTTAGGTTATTTTTCAGATAGGTTCTCAAAGTCCGGGCTACCCTGGAACTTTGATCCTCCTCCTGAGTAGCCAGGATTACAGGTGAGATCTATCATGCCCATTTGTCCCCTTGCTGTTCTGACCAGAACCTTGCAATCACTGCGCTTCCCAACTGCTCCACCTGCTCCATTCCAAGCAAGCATTATCTTATGGGAAACTCATCAGATTCTCCTCCCCAAACAAGGTTATGGAAATATGGTCTGGTGTTTTTCTGGCTTTAATGTGCATGAATCACTTTGGGATCTTGTTTAAACACAGATTCAGTAGGTCTGAGGCAGGACCCCAGGAATCTGCATTTCTAACCAGTGCCCTGATGCTGTTGGTCTTCCCAGCACAAATCCACACTCCGAGCAGTAAGAGGCAATGCTGGGCTGTGTGGAACAATTTCTGGTCTACTGGAGGGGAGGAACTTGGTTTTCAAACACCCCAGTTCTATGCCAGACTTAAAGTGTGCAAGACAGCGCACAGACATGAGGGAGCTCAGTAGATAGGGCTTGGTGCTGGAGAGGTCTTTGCACAGTGACTCACTCCTTGTACTTGTAATTATTCGCATCCTATGGCTAAACATGTTCCAGAAATAACAAGTCTTCTGGCTCATGTTCTCTAGCTACTGACTAATTCCATGCCAAGAGCTCTGTATCACTGTCCTCATAGGAAAACAGGAAGAGAAAAACCAACATTAACCGTCTGCAGTCTGCCCACCAGGTCACAGGCAATAGGAAACAGGACTAGATGAAGGGGCTAACCACTGAGTGACTATGGAAGAGCCCAGTGTTCCTTTGGCACTCTCTGAACATACAGGAGAGAAAATGCCACTGATACCAGAGCTGGCATCCCATCCCAGCTGGGGAATCGTGGTCTGCAGTGGTACCAGGGTCAAATTCTGGGTGGTCAGTTTCAAACTTAAAACGTACTTTCCAGCTACCAACTTTCCTTTAAAAACACACAGACTAATATAAAACTTGCTTTTCTTTATAAAATGAATTTTGAGTTTGTGGTTTTATATCATTTGTTTGCTGGCCAGACATGCTTAAAACATGTACTAACACTCCAGCTTCTCTGAGGGAGAGAATGGAAGACAGGCTTTTCTTGTATCTTTTCCCTTCTGTTTTATTATCCTTATTTTTAGGTGGTACTGGGGTTTGAACTCCAGGCCTTATGCTTTCTAGGCAGGCACTCTACCCCTTAAGCCATGTCCCTGTTATTTTTCAGATAGGGTCTCACATTTCTGCCTGAGGTTATGTCCTCCCACTTGTCACTACACCTGACACCTGACACCTGACTTGTTTGTTGAGGTGGGGTCTTGATAACTTTTTGCCTGGGTTAGCCTTGAATTTCAATGCTCCAGATTTCTACCTCCTTCTACCTACCTTCTTCTAACTGGGGGCGTGCCCTTCTGTGCCTGGCCCCTCTTCCTTTCTTTAGACTTTTTCTCTCTTGCAGTGCTAGGGATTGAATCCAGAGCCTCATGCATGCTAGGCAAGCTTTCTACCACTGAGCTACATTCAGCTCTAATAACAGACTTTTAAACTAAGAGTATTTATGCATGAATCCCGTCCTCACATCCAGATCTGTTTACGAAGAACCAGAGATGTTCACTAGAATTTTGTGATATGTGGCGAGTTTATGGGGGAAAGGGGGAAAGTTAAAAGTTAAAGTAAAAGCAGCCCATTTACAAAATAGTATCCTGGATTCCTGTGTCCAGGTCAACCCCCGTAAGGATGGGCTCTGCTTACATGAATAAAGGGACAAAAGGATTAACCACCGCTGCCTAGGTTCCTCAGCTGCCCCCACTGTCCACCATGGAAGCCACACGCCACAGGTGGCCATTCAGTGCCATCACTAATCTCCACTGAGATGTGCTATGTTGACCACATAGCAGATTTCAAACACTTAGTAAGAAAAAAACCTCATAAATATTTTATATTGATTACAGCTAAAGTAAGTTTGCAGGCATACTGGATTGAATGAAATATATATTTAAATTCCTTTCTTTTTTTCTTGCAATGGAGTATTGCTTGGGCTTGAATTCACAAACTTCCAGCCTCAGCCTTCACATAGCTGGAACTACAGGTATATGTCACTGGCCTGGCTTAAAGTTCATTTTCATCTCTTTCTTTTTACTTTTTGTAAATGTGACTACCAGAAAATTTAGAATTATATTTGTGCTTTGCATCCTCTTTCTCCTACTGGACAGAGGAGCTGGAAATCTTCCTTTCAGTAAGAGAAGGAGGTGCTGCAAAGACCCTTGCAGAGGCTGGGGATGTAGGTAGCTCTGAGGTAGACTGCTTGCCTAGTATACATGAGGCCCTGCATTCGATTCCCATCCAAACTCCCCAGATCCCCAGAAAAGACTCTTTCCACCTATGTAAGGAACCCTGGAATGCCTTCTGATCCATCAGGCCATAATGGAACATGAGTCACAATAAAGAGAAGTTTACTGTGTCTTTTTAAAGATGACTGTTGATAATAATAGCAATAATATTGCTTATTAAATTATTCTGATTTAAACATAATCCCTTTAAAGCTGGGCACAGGGATGTGCACCTGCCATCCCAAGCTACATAGGAGGCTAAGACTGAGATCAGAAGGATCACAGTTCCAGGCCTACTTGGATTAAAAAAGTTACTGAGACCCCATCTCAATGGAAAAAAGCTGGGTGTGGTGGTACATGCCTGTCATCCCAGCAACTGTAGGAAGCATAAAATAGGAGGATAGTGGTTTGAAGCCTGTGTGGGCAAAAGTGAGACTCCATCTCCAAAATAACCAGAACAAAAAGGGCTGGAGGTGTGGCTCAAGTGGTAGAATGCCTATGTAGCAAGTTCAAAGTCCTGAGTTCAAATCCTAGCACCACAAACAAACAAAATCTTTAGTATTAAGTCTACATTGGAGCATAAATTACAATTTTTAAAAAGTCCCTGGCAGTGTGAGCAGTGGTGAGGCTATGATTCAGGACTACCACCTCCATCACCATCACTGCACAGCTGAGGTCTAGTCTGCTCCCAGGCTGAGTGAAACTAAAACAGGTAAAGCGGAATTGGCCGTTTGTCACACTGTCCCCCTGCCTCTGTTGCTGCTCTGCCCATCTTGACTTCCTTTCACATCGTGGGGCTCCTCACTCTATCAGTGTCCCCTCATTCCTAAGATTGCAGTTATACTCACTAAGCTCTCCTGCTTTTCTCTTTAGTCTGCTTTTGAAAATTTCATCAATTTCTTGAATCAACAATTTATTCACATAGCTAAAGCGTAAGTCTTTGAAGAGGTGAATGCGACAGAATCTCCTTCCTCCATGGTCCCAAGACCCCCCCTGCAGACACCCACTGCCACCAGTTTCTGGTGCGCCCTTCCAGGGATATGTAACACATATCCAAATGCATACAGACATATGCTCGCTTTTTCCTTCAGACAGCATCACACTCTGCACAAGGATCAGAACCTTTCTTTTTTGTGGTTAATGATGTATCTTGGTGATCATCCCATACCAGTGTATGAAGCCCCACTTTTATGGCTGTAGAATGTTCTAGGATAGGATTTTACTAGTTGTCTGGAAGTGAGTATTGAAGTTGCTTTCAGTCTTTTGCATTGCCAGAAATGCACAAATAATCAAGTTGCCTACATTTGAGTATATCTAAAGGAGAAATTAAAAACCAGCGAGGTGCTGCGTGCCTGTACTACCAGCTACCAGGAGGCTAAAACATGAGACTGTGACACAAGGCCAACCTGAGCCATTTGGCAAATGACAGATTAGCATGGCAGGACTGCCAAGCCACATGTACCTGTGTGCAAATTTGATAGAATTTGCAGAAATGACCTCCATAAAAGTGGATGAGGTCTTCTTTCCAGTGACATGAGAGTGACTATGTGTCCACATTCTTTCCAATAGTGTTTAAAACACTGCAAGAATTCTGCCAATCTAACAGTTTTTTAAAAAACAGTTTTTGGTATATATATTTTTCTTTTTTGGTGGGACTGGGCTTTGAACCCAGGGCTTCCCACTTGCAAAGCAGGTGCTCAACTGCTTGAGCTTGTCTCCAGTCCATTTTGCTCAGGTTATTTTGCAGATGGGGGTCTCACAAACTATTTGCCTGGGCTGCCCTCGAACCTCAATCCTCCTAATCCTAGCCTCCCAATTAGCTAGGATTATAGGCACCAGCACCTGGCTTTTGGTGTACTTTCAATATGAAATTTTCTTATTATCATGATGACATGTGTTCATGTTTGATGAGTAATTTATATTTCCTTTCCTTTTCTTTTTTCTTCTTTTGGTGGTACTGGGGCTTGAACTCAGGACCTCACACTTGCTAAGCAGATGCTCTACCACTGAGCTACTCCACCAACTCTATATTTCCTTTTCTTTGAGCTGTCTTTCATGTCTTTTTATTTTCCTTTTGTGCTGTTACCCTTTTTACTGATTCGTGGGAGCCCTTCATAGATTAAGCATGGCTAGATCAAAATATGCTATTTCTTTCAAGATTTCATGTTTCTTGGTTATAGAATCTTTTCTGTGGAATAAAAGTTCTTTTTGAAAGAAAGCAGAAGGTCTCAACATGGCTTACCACCAACTTACCTGAACTTTGGGGCCACCTCCAGACACTCTGGAGATGTAACTCATGATGTACTTGGCAGCCACCGTCTTTCCAGCACCACTCTCACCACTAAGGAAAGAAAGACACATTTTCTTAATCCATTTGTCGGTGGTGGGGCATCTTGGCTGTTTCCATAACTTGGCTATTGTGAATAGTGCCGCAATAAACATGGGTGTGCAGGTGCCTCTGGAGTAACCTGTGTCACAGTCTTTTGGGTATATCCCCAAGAGTGGTATTGCTGGATCAAATGGTAGATCAATGTCTAGCTTTTTAAGTAGCCTCCAAATTTTTTTCCAGAGTGGTTGTACTAGTCTACATTCCCACCAACAGTGTAAGAGGGTTCCTTTTTCCCCACATCCTCGCCAACACCTGTTGTTGGTGGTGTTGCTGATGATGGCTATTCTAACAGGGGTGAGGTGGAATCTTAGTGTGGAGAACATCATTCTGGGTGAGGTTAGCCTGGCTCAAAAGACCAAAAATCGTATGTTCTCCCTCATATGTGGACATTAGATCAAGGGCAAACACAACAAGGGAATTGGACTTTGAGCACATGATAAAAGCGAGAGCACACAAGGGAGGGGTGAGGATAGGTAAGACACCTAAAAAATTAGCTAGCATTTGTTGCCCTTAACGCAGAGAAACTAAAGCAGATACCTTAAAAGCAACTAAGGCCAATAGGAAAAGGGGACCAGGAACTAGAGAAAAGGTGAGATCAAAAAGGATTAACCTAGAAGGTAACACCCACGCACAGGAAATTAATGTGAGTCAATGCCCTGTATAGCTATCCTTATCTCAACCAGCAAAAACCCTTGTTCCTTCCTATTATTGCTTATACTCTCTCTACAACAAAATTAGAAATAAGGGCAAAATAGTTTCTGCTGGGTATTGAGGGGGTGGGGGGGAGAGGGAGGGGGCGGAGTGCGTGGTAAGGGAGGGGGTGGGGGCAGGGGGGAGAAATGACCCAAGCCTTGTATGCACATATGAATAATAAAAAAAAAAAAAGAAAGACACAAATGCCACCATGAAACGGGCCACAACTAGGTCCTCCCAGAACCAAAAGAAAACAGGAAGAAAGGAATTTTTAAAAACTTGCACAATATTGCTTGAGAAAGTCAAGTTGTTACAGCAGGAGGTCACTTCTATGATCCAGGTAAGAACAGTAACAGGGTGTTGACCAGTCTTGATAACTGATACTGTATGCAGGACAGACATAAGAGTCTAACTGCCCAAGAAGACAGGGCACGAGTAGGAAATCATGGCTATCAAAAGGATGGAATTATGCAGAGATTAAAACCACCATCCAGACTGTGTACATAGTAAGAAAAAGGATATGAAATAGTGTTAAGTGAAATACCTGATTCCATTTATATAGAAACACGGTTATAAAAATATCGTTTTTAAAAGGCTGGAGTTGTGGCTCAGAGGTAAAGCACTTGTCCAGAACACACAGGCCTGGGCTTCATCCCCATCACCAAAAATAAATAAATGAATGAATCAAGTACACAAGAAATAAGACTGGAACAATTATAAAGCATTAAGAGAGATTTTGGTCAAGGTAAGTAGCCCACAGGACATTGATTCAGTTCAGGATTTTCCAAACTTGCTTGTAATGATATAGTACTTCTAAAATTAAAAAAAAAAGAAAGAAGAACAAAGAAAAAGTAGGCCCTTGGAGGTTTCAAACTATGTGCCTTGAACTGCTGCAAGCGTTCTTATTTTAGAAGTTCTAAAATTAAATGATGAAGCAACATTAATCACATCCTGTGTAACAAAGACTACCTTCCGCTGGGTGCCCAGCGTACAGGAATGGTCTTTTGTTAACAGTCTAGTCTTCAAAATCCCCGTTCTTCCTTCAAAATCCCCCTCCAGTGATGATGATCTCAATTCTGAACATGCTTAATTCCGTCAGGTTCCTCAGTTTCTACTGGTGGCCTTTGTGCTTCCAGAACCGCATTAATTAAAGGAACTCACACGATGCACAGTGACGATGACTTAGTCATCAGTACTAGGCTCTACTACTTTATAACAATATTTGTTTGTGATCAAGAATTTTGGGGTAGAAAAAAAGGATTTTGGGGTGCAGAGCAGATGTTCTTCTATGAATACCCTGCCTAATTAACTATTGTCAGTTGCTGAGAGTCACACAAGAAAAGAGGAAACATTTGCTTAGGGTACAGTCCAGCAAGGTGACCCCAACCTCCAAAAGGAAACTGCAATCAATGTTGAAATAATTTGGTATTTCAGGACAAAACAAAGTTAAAATAGCCATTTGGCAAAAGTCCTAAATGTTGGATTTGCCTGAATTAATATATGGCAAAGGTCTGAACCACCTATGTGCTTCACCTCAGTGCTGGGTTCCCTGGCTTTCCGACTTCCCAAAACTAAACTGAAGTGTCCTAAGATGCAGTGCGTCTGGGATGGGGTGTCACACCACCACAGAGAAGTGCCTGTTTACAGGTACAAGTGAATTCAACTCATGAGGACGTCCTCTCTCTGTCCCTCTCTCCCTGTTTCTCTCTCTTAGCACTGGGGTTTGAACTCAGGGCCTCGAGCGTGGGTAGGCAGGTGCTCCACCACTGCAGCCATGCTCTCAGCCCCACTCCTCCTTTTCTTTTCTTTTAGCTTTAGTTACTTTTTTGGATAGGGTCTCACACTTTTTACCTATGCCAGCCTTGAACTGTGATTCTCCTACTTATGCCCGCCTCCTGCATAGCTGAGAATCCAGGAGTGCATCACCATGTCTGGCTTTTTAAACGGTCATGAATTAGCTTTTTAAACGGTCAGCATAACCAAATGACTTATATGCTAGATCCAAGGTGAATACTCATGCACTCCTATCACTTGAAGCTCAAGTGTTTGGGGTTTTTTTGGCAGTACTGGGGTTTGCACTCAGGGCTTTGCACTTGCTAGGCTGGTGTCTACTTCTTGAGCCACGCCTCCAGTCCCAAGCTCAAGTTTGTCAACGAAACTCCATTTTATAAGTTGCAGCAATGTAAACATTCAAGAATATTGGAACATCTGAGAGCAGTCACAGAATGGAATCTTACAGACATTTAAAATAATTACAAACACTAAGTAACAAGGTTAACTGCTCAGTTTGAGCAAAAGACAATGTATTTATGTCATGTTAATAACTACAGAAAAATGCATATGAAAACTGAAATGGAACATGAAAAAAACAGTTCTGGCATTAAGACGCTATTATATGGAGGATTCTCCTTTATTTTGAAGTGATTTCTCTTGAGGTTTACATTTTTTTTGACATGGGAAATTATGCATGTATTTCAGGTGTTTGTTCATTTGTTTTTTGAAACAAAAGCTTGCTCTGTAGCCCAAGCTGGCCCCAGACATGCAAACCTCCTGCCTCATCCTCCCAAGTGCTGGGATTACAGGTGTGTCCTACCACACCTGTAATTCAGGTTTTTAACAAAAATTTCTCAGAAAGGATTATTGTTCCATATAACCATAGTCAATATTCACAAATTTCATTAGGTTATTATGAACTTATTATATAATACCATGAGTAAACACATTTTATGTGATTATGGTCTTATATATAGAATTCCTTAGAGCAAGCTGTAAGAGAGAAAGAAAAAATAACCTAACAATTTATGAAATAAAAGCATAGCTATCCCCCACTGGGTCTCTGCTTAACGGTGTGATGAGACATGAAATACTGTACGCCTGTTGTTGGAAGTGAAAGAAAAGGACAGTGGGAAGTAAGTAACTCTTCATATATAAAGAAGTCAGGGCCCAAAATAGGACGACTGCATTCTTAGTAACTCTCATATTTTTCAGGATACTTAAATAATTAGTTCTGGCCAAACGTTGATCTGGATTTTCATTTCTTGGTTTCACTTTACAGACATTTAAGAAGTTTTATTGATCACAGCCGGTAATTTGCTCAAAATATGGCCCAATAGTGGGTCAGAACATAATTTCTTGAAGCTTCAGCATATACTCCATAATTGTGCTGGCCTGTTTGGGATCGGGAGATATTATTTCTCCCCTGGACTAAAACTGAGGTTAAAAAAATGTGAAGGTGTCAGAGAAATAATACAGTACACCCTAAATCTCACATGTCACAGAAGTTAGAGCAATTTGCTTCATTTCTGCTTATAGACAGCCTTCCTAATATATTGCCTTGATTTTAATGGAAAAACAAAAAACCCTCTAGAGACGAGCAAAAGGCTCCAGGGGTCCTTAAATCTCACAGTCCATCAGGATCCTCACAGTATGTGAGTAGTGCCCATGTTTGTGACCCTTCTCCACCTTACTGAACCCTCAAGACAGTTTCTAGGAACAGGATCTGTTTGGTTGGCTTGTTTGAGGGGCTACTGGAGTATGGACTCAGAGCCTCATGCTTTAGTCTTGCTATGTAGCCCAGGCTGGCCTCAAATTCAAGACCCTCCTGCTTCAGCAGCCTGAGTGCTGGGATTACAGACATGTGTCACCAAGCCCAGGAGGAATGAGATTTTAAATGAATTCCCTAGTTTGCATGTAAGTGGCTGGGAACCAGCCCAACAATTTAAAATCAAAGTTAGAACGGACTTCATAGGAAGCAGCAATTCAAATCAGAAATAACGTCTGTGTATTAGCTATAGAAATTCAAACAAATGGCAAAGTGTCAGAGAAATGGTAGACTATTTGGGGGAAGTTATTTACAACGGTATATTAACAACTGGACTCAAAGACTATAATTGTTTTTCTGTGTCAGGTTATTCTTCACTTTAAAAATCAGGGGGTGGGAGTGGGGCTGGTGGAATGGCTCAAGTGGTAGAGTACCTGCCTAATAAGTGTAAAGCCCTGAGTTCAAATCCTAGTACTACCATCACCAAAAAGAAAAATCAATACTGTTTCAATTCACTTCAACTTATTCTAGCAAATGTGAAACTATTTCAGTCCTTTGTTGGTGAGAGATCCCACAGAATCAGTAAGTTCAAACATTCCCACTGTCAGAGAACTCACCAATCTACTCCCATCTCCAAATATCCCTATTGCTTCTGCACCCCAGTTTGTTTCCATGTAATTAATTGAATGAATACAATTGAAATGTTCATTTTCCAACT